CTTTACAAGCTACGGTGCGTGCGTTTGCGTTGCGGTTCTGGCAATGCTAGTATAAATGGTGTATCACTTTGGTAAGCAAAATGGGAAACTCCAATAAACAGTCAAATTTCAGATATCTTGATGCACAATATGATGGTCGCCTAGGATTTGGGCCACTTCGCGGAGGCAGGGAATTCGGCATCGACAATCCGACTCCTGAATTACAGGTCCCAAGCTTCGTTTAGTAGCTTTTCAAGCCTACGGAATAATATCTATATCCTCTTTTTTCTCCTCAGAAGGACAAAAAGGATGCGGCACCAATGAAACGATTCAAACCGTGCTATTACTCTCCTATCCAGTGTCTCATCAAGAGAAGGTAGAACAACGATGACCGGTCAGAGCCCTCCTCTCCATCTACACCCAACTTTCGTATGTTAACATCCCCTGCTGTCGGCCAATCCAAGGTTTGATAACTATGCTGTATTGTAGGCCTGTTGTAGACCATATAAATCCATTCCGTACGTGTGATCACGACCATGGGAATTGAATAAAGTTATTCATTGTTTGATTTGCTGAAGTCGGTCTCAAACAAACTCGGGCAGAAGAATAGGAATCGGGAGGGTGTACGCCTTGACTCTGCCCTTCTATCTCAACCTATACGAGTTACTTCGACGAGTAAAATCGCATGAAAGCATCTATTTGTACATGAGACCCAATCAGTTGCTTTCAGTAGTATCGAATTATCACGCTAGTTGGCACTATGCCAACAACAATTCCCTATTCGGTTATCTGGGGAATTCGAACGAGCAATGCGTTGGCATCAGATACTATTCAAGATTTTCGCGGATGGATCCCTGGTCCAATTCACCCAACAGCAAGCTAGACATATGGGAATACTGCCAATAATCTGAGCCGCACATTGGGGCAGATGCTTACTCACATCACTCCTTTGATAGGTCGGGATGCGCCGCGCACTTTCTCACGCCTTCGAATTGAAAGCGACAGGAACCAAACCAGATTTCAGCTCTAATAAAATAACAATATATGATGTTTTACAGATCCAGCGCTTGACCACAATCCCCATTGAAGCTGCACAACTTATCGCATTGCCTCTCAAAGCCAAACTGGGCGAGCTTGCCTGCAATTTACGTCCTAGGAAGGTCATCTTGGTAGATTAATGGGTGCCATGTCTCGGAGACGAGGGCGCCTCAGACCGCTCTCACAAGAGTGGGAATCGGATCTAATAAAAGTAAAATCCAAATCAACAAATTAAAGCACCAGTAGAGTACTCGACTTCCGTAAGGGTGTACTATAGTATCATCTAATAAGAAGTTGAAATGCGTAGAATTAAAAATCGACATTATTACACATGCACACATCGCCTAATATTGAAAACTTAATAACCGTTTATTTGCAAAACAATGCTATCCTATAAAAACAATTCCGATTAAGACAGATACTGTCACAATGTCCAACTTAAATAATGACTAACAAATTAATAGAACTCATGTTCAGGCCTTTCTACGAGGGAAATGACGATTTCATGCCCTCCAGTACGGTATTCTGAGGTGACCAGTAGGAAACACACCTTGTTGAGTGGCGGTCGAGTAAACCAAGACCGCCGATGTGCTGTCCACCTCGGCCGACTATTGAGAGGCATGGTCTATACAAACTGCATAATATTGAGCTTATCAACTATGGAGGGTTCGTATCTAGTAAAATCAAAGACGACTTGGAGGAATCTCTCTAGTGAATATACTACACGTTCGATGATACTGTATCGAAGAGCAAACCGAAAAGAATAAAATTAAGTATGATGAAAGTTAGTGACAAGAAAGAATGCAGTACGAGAATGCAGAAAAGTCTGTATCTAAGGATTAAATCAGACTTTAGCAAATGCTTTCTCTCCGTGAACTGTACCAATAAACGCCCTTTGGACACGAGTTAAGTGAAACATACCCCGATGAGGATAAATACAGGCTAGGGCTGAATAGGACACTTGGATCATATCCGCCAATACGTCGACGAAATTCGAGAAAGTACATGAGCACATAAAAGAGCGCAAGCTTTGTTCGTCACTATTCGCACAACTATGCCTGATGAAGCGAAATCACAATCGTTGGGAAAATAAAAATGGCCCATTTGAAAAGATGGAGCCCACTTTACTCAGCTGCCCTCCGGTATAACATCCTCCGCTCGCTGCTTCCGCTTTAGTAAAAGCTTATTGTTCGACTCTGCGAGACTTTTTATTTGCATGCTCTCGTTTCCAACACGCATCGATGCCAGCGTTTTTTCCATCTCGTCCTGAAATTTAAGAAACTCTCTTGTACACATGATAAATAACAGCACTAGTAGTCAACAATCAGCTCATGGCCTTGATAACAAATTAGCATGCAATGCATCAATTAACAGAAGAATCGGATTGATATTAATGGAAGGGAAAGGAATGGCTGCACATTCCCCAAATTGCAATGTTGAACATAAATTCGCTTCACTGAAATGACACTGATATTCAATGATGCCGGCGAAACGCAGCATTACAACTATCAAGCGAACAAAAAGCACCCCATATGCGTGTTCAACAACCATCCTTTTTCCAAGGCCACCCGCGTGCGAACCGAAGCGCTTTTTGTCTATTGAATGGAAAAGCACTACAATTTTCACGTCAAAGGTATTCCATCCAGGTAATACTACAGTAAGGTTAGTTCTTGTGGCGGTTTTAAAAAATCCTACAAAGAGCAAAAAAAACTTCTAGCTCTTCTATTTCATACTGCATAAAAGCGATTTTTCACTTCCAAAAAGTGCACTATCGCCCCTTAATACATGTGTACGTACAAGCTGTGAAAGCACTCGTCTTCACAGGCGCCTCGTTCGAGCAATACAAACAAACTTGATGACGCTTTATTGACCTAGCGATGGCGCCTATATTTGAGCGATGAGTTGAAGAACATAAAGTGCAACGTTGGTATCGTCTTTCCTTCAATGGACAAAAACAAAACGACTCCCATCGGCAACATCATTCGCTCCGTAAACTGCTGAAGTGCCCATCCACGCAATGTAATGACGTGAAATATATGACTTTCAGTCAAAAACCAGCCCCGCACTCGAGAAAAAAGTTTGGTGAGTTACTAGTGTCTGATGTTCGACCAGTTTCATAGTTCCCCGCAATTACAATTCGACACGTGTGAGTCTATGCATTACCCTCGACTCATAGAGGAGCAATTATAACTGTAAGGTGCGTGTGTGGAAAGTCGCCCAGTAAACTTAATTGGCTCAAGCGATAGATTAAAATGGATCATAGAGCCAAACGAGAAGAAACCAGGACACTCTTATCTATGAAAAAGAAAGGCGAAAACGCTCAATAGCTTTCATTAGGAAAATTTAGTAAGAAATAGGATAACGCTACACAATCAGTTTTTCAGCGTACGCTGAAACATGTTGAAGGATGCGCAGGTAGAAGACCAGACGTTATTTATTACTGTCTAGACGATCTCGAATCTGTGTAATACGTCCACTTAGCGTGCTAAACTGGGAAATACCCCAACCGTAGCGGGTCTCGTAATGGATATGCTTGTTGCTCTCCGAAAACATTAATTTCACTCCAAATGACGCCTGAACTTTTCGATTTTAAGTAAATTCCTCGCAATGTAGAGCCCGAGCATGTTGCACAACCAACTGAACGATCAAATAAAGCGGATAAACGTACGAATAATGGTCTTCTGTGGGCCGCTTTTCAATAGCAGTAGCGATGAATGGGTAATAGGAAGAAATCAAGAAAGACTAAATAGGGTTATGAAAGGCAGCCCCATGCGAACTCGGTATAGATAAATAATCCCAAGCATGCAATACTCAACAAAATAATAACAAAACTGAATTGCAAAAATTGTGCTCGCATACCTGCATCTCACCCCACTGTGCCTTTTGATCAACTAAGACGGTGCTAGTGAAAAGAGGAGTGTCTGGCACCTAAAGGACATCCAGTAACTGCAAGAAACTCTTCAAACTGTCCATAATGAGCATAGGAATTGAGAAAAATTAATTTAAAACATTAAACAAACTAAAAAGAAGAGGTGGGCTGGGTTTCATGAAAAATAAAACGCAAGTGCATAGCAAGACCTTTTGGAAATGAGTGATCCACTTATGCTGCATCGTCTGCTCAATGGTTATTCGCTCAGCCGCATCCGTCTTGAGCAATTTTTTGATTAGATCTTTAGCTAAAACATGCATGAATGATGAGGAACCATACGGGAGAAAAGCCATATAAAAGACGAAAGCCCTTACCAGCCTCGGAAACGCAGTCCCATTCTGGCGATGGGAAAGTGTATTGACCTGACTTGATCTTCGCCTTCATTCCAGGCGACATTGGAAGGCCATTTTGAGAGAAGAATGGGGGATATCCACATAACCTATACAAAAACAATAGGAAAAACCACGAAAAAGTCGATAACGGCGAAAAGGGTCCAAATAATGGTGAATAAAACGTACAATATATACATAACGACTCCTACAGACCAGAGATCGCACGACTTATCATATTTTTCGGCACCCAGAACCTCAAAAGGGTACGATAAAAAAANAAAAAAATGTCACAGAGAGAAAAGATTAAAATCGACATCTTTGACCAACTTCCGGAGCACAGTAATACGGCGTATAGCAGGCAGTGGCTAGACCAAGTGGTTCCGATTCATCGGTTCTCTTGGCAAACCCGAAATCGGTGAGTTTTAATCGCGAATTAGGAGTATTATCTCTGAAACACATCACTATAAAAGATTATAGAAATAGATCTAACATCGCTTTGTACGATCCCTTGTTTTCCCATAAAATATGGAACACTCAACGCTATCTAATTCAAGGCGAGGAGATGCTACGGGATGGTCGCTCAATCGGAAAAGAGTAAGGGTGAGGCCGGAACGAAGCCAACGGTAAGAATTAGGCTATTGACAGTTTGCAGAGGCCATGTTTTCATCATATTTCATCCTTCGTCAAGGTAAACTATGCTTGGATCGAGGAGTCTGTTTATAGAAACTCACACATATAGCAAATTTTCAGGTTTAATATCACGGTGAGCAATATTCATTCTGTGAAGATGAGCAACAGCAGAGCATATTTCGTACATTATACCAGCAGCTTCCCTTTCAGTGAATGCCTGCTGTCCACGTTCCTGGAATAGTGCACGGTTTGCTGGAGTTGGATCAGATCAACTAGAGAATGTGAATTAGTGGGTGAAGAACCGTGGACACTGGATGAGGCTTAATAGGTTAATTTGAGCTTTGCGAAATCGAGGACGGCTTTATTCTCTACAGTCATGACATAAATGTTTATGCGATCGCTGAGCCTTTACATTAGTTACAGAATACAGGATGTTTTTGATCACAGAGTTTTTTAATTCCTAACGTTCCAGTCGTACGTACATTTGAAGAATCTACCCAACTTAGACAGCTTTCGCCACAAGTGCAGAACAAAAATAAAGTTCTAATTATGGCCCCGATCACAAAAATGAATGAATAAGACAAGCCCTTCTGCAATGAACGCTTCGTTCGATTGACGTTCTGATTTCTCAAAGCTTCAGTTGGACAAAAGTACAGTTTATTACCACTATGATTTAAAAAATCGCTTGGGCTCTTTTTCGATATAACTAACTTATTCAGACAACCACAAACTTGCATGTTCGCTTTTTCGAACCTCAACTATTCAGTCGCCCTCTTCAATAAGTCACGAGACCCTTTGAAGGCTCTAAACACTCACTTGAATTCGATTAAAAAGCTCGCCACCACGCATACTTTCCATGACAACGAGTAAACACTGCACGTCATTGTAGGAATTCTCATAGACATCAACTATTTCTACAATATTCGGATGTCCACTGGCTATATAATGCAAGTCGACCTTAAAAAGAATGTAGAGAAACTCCACTCTAATCTCCAACATTAAAAAATGCAATGAAAAATGAAAAACTGATATTCTTTCTTCCTTAAAATCTTTCTTTGAGAAAAAAAAACTTAAATGAGTACCTCTCTCCTCGCTTTTGGTATATCACGAAGAACTTTGAGAGCAAACTTCTCCCCAGTAACACGATGTTCGCATTCAACAACCTTTCCATTGATTCCAACTCCAAGGACCTTGAATAGACACAGCTAAAGAATTAATGACGCCCAGCAAAACTATACCTACCGCATGGTACTACTTTGAACTCGAAAGAGGAAGCATGACTAAATAATTACGTTATGAGTAATAATCAGTTAGCAACAGAATTAGTCTTACATAGGTTCAGAGGTAAAAGCAAGAAAACAGTCATAGGAATTGGTTCGACCAGGAAAGAAGGAAGTACAAAATGACACCAGAGAGAATTATATTATTGAAAACACAGAGCATCAAAAGTGAACGCTTGGTCAGGAGATGTAGGGTAGAAGAAAAACGAGACGTATTGATAGATGGCGTCATCCAAAATCTGAATTTCATACTGCACTATACTTTGCACTTTAATCTAATCAGAAGTCAACGCTCATCGCGAATTATCGACTCAGTCAAAAAAAATTGAGAGTGGCGTATTTCACTGTAGCTCCTGCGAGATCTCTACTTTGAATATTTTCTTGTTTTGATGGAACTTTAGTTCATCAGTAATCTGTAGCTTACTTCGACGTCAAATTTGTGAGACATATACGAATTCACAAATCAAAATATTTCAATTCAGAAATATATAAATACCTACTTTTCGACTGATGCGATAATCTTGCGTCACGGGGTATGTATGATAGGCCATGTCAGTTGAATTCTTAGCCGCTCTGCGATTGTCGGAAGAAGATCTCGACTTCTTTCGTTTTCCTGTCTAACAATGAAAACAACGACTTTCAGTAAAAAATGGTGGTGACAGATTAGAAAACTGTTTGTTAATCAGCGAAAGGACGGCACTCGTTCAGCGGGAAACACGTAGCGATTAGGTTAAAATGACAAATCGCACTCGCGGTTGTGGATCGAGTGAGAACGTAATTACGTAACAAAGCTAAAAATAATTGAAATAAGAGTGATGAATCGCATTTCAAATGTGATATCATCATGCATGCATACATACACTCGGTACCTTTATCGTTGGAGACTTTTGCTTGTCCTCTGGTCGAGTCGATTCGATATTACCCATCAACAACTATAATGCAAAACAAGCACAGACTTCACACCACCACACACTGCACAACAAATATGTTTTTTACAGGAACTGAAAAATCAAAATCACCGCACAACAATGAGATCAACTTCAAAAGAAGATCAGATACGAGAAGAGACATCGCTAACTGCTCAGCCATGCGTTGTCTGCAAGCCTTAACTTCCAATTCAAACTTATTTGCACAAATTTCTTACTAATCATCAAGCAAGATTGCAATATAGCAAATTTCTAATCCCACTTGAGGCCATGAATACAATTTGGTAGTTTTTGCTTCTCTTTTTATTACCTACGAAAAACATTCGAGCCCCTGAGACGCCTTTTCAAAACGAGGTATAAAAGCATAGCAAATTAATCAGAAACCGCAAAAATCTTTTTGTTACAATGAACAAGAGGCGATATTTGTCGGTAGCTTAAGACAAATAGTAAGAAATTCTAGTTAGCTGACAGCTTTCAGACGATGCAAGCCGCCCTATACTAAGCTCAGCACGTATCCCTAGAAGCGCATCAAGGGAATCTTAGTTCATTGAGAGATTTCTGTTGATTTCTACAGCAGATAAGTGGGATAAAGAATGGCAAAAACAAGAGAAGCACTTGTGCATGCGTGAGTGCTTATATTCCCTTCAGTATAGATCCCTCTATTGAATAGACTACGTCACTTTGCACTGTAGGTCTACTTGCACCCTTTGCACCCCCTTCCACACCACAAAAGCTCTTCTCAATATAACAATCGTAATGAGCGACCTTAGACGTAAAACCAGTTACTTCAGAAGATGCAGAATAGAATAAGCCAGTGGCAGGTGATAAAGTGTGACAAGCTTGTCGAACAGAAGAGTGCAAAACATAAAGGAATAATAAACGCGAAAGAACTCAACAAATTTCAAATAGATGAAATCGTTCACACCTGGAAATGGAAGACAGATGTTTGACGAAGAATTCACTAGTTGACCCACCTTATGAGGACTTGCTATTTCTACTGCTGGAACATGAGATACCGTCAACAATTTCCGGAGAGAGATCTTGTTTGAAAATGAAAAACTATAACTTGCAGACAACGAATGGCTGCGATCTAGCAGCGACCACAATACGATATCAATTGCGAAGTTAATGTACGATAATATTTCAGTGCAAAATAACACTAAGAGTGCCATAATAAGCGGTTCAAACAAGAAACCCCACTGAGAAACTCCTTGATGAAAACTTGAGATTAAAAACGGTGCTTAAGCGGAAGAGAATACGGAAGTACTTCAACAAGATTTTATATTCAAAATTACGTTAGACGCGCGCAGCTGCGCAGCGTTTTTTTTACTTGAAGCATCAAATCAACCAGTTTTGCAAACGTCGGCAAAAGAAGGTGTGCCTCTGCTTTCCACTTGAAATCTGGATCGATAATCATTTCTACTTCTGACGTCTACTACTGTTACTTCAAACGAGGAGCAATATATATATCGATATCAACAAGAATAATATACTGGGAAAAAGGGGTTTCGTCATGTTAGCGGTGGTTGGGAAGCTGGATAGGTAGGCTAGCAGTCGATGCACCAGCATCAGCGGGAAAGCCCAAAAAAGGGCTTGGTGGACCTGATGTTGAAAGAACTTTTCAACATCAGGTCCACCAAGCTCCATCCTATACGCCTCATAAAATGCAGAGTCAACCAGTTACAAAACCAGCAGTGCTCCTCAGCGTTAGGTCCAGTCCAAAACAAATTTCAAGAGAAATATCATAGGTTTACTCCTAACACTGGCCAAAGGGTTTGTAGCGTACACCATCAAAATATTGTATTATTTCAACGGTACGAATTTGTTTGGGGAAGTTATAAGTTGAAAAGGGTTGCATGCGCTCTGGAACTGCAACAAAACCCACATGGGCCAAATTTTACCTCCAAATACTTTACGTACATCTTCAGCATAAGTAGGAAACTGAGCAAGTTGGGTGTCCTCCCACTTGGTAGAGGAGACACGCCTACTCTGCTAGGAAGAGGTTGCCAGCGCGTTACCATAACCACTGAGGAGTCCCCGTCTCCGAATCGGAAAACGATTTCGGAGAAACACCCACACAACACGTCTACGACAAAGCTACGAGCAATTTTGGAAATGACGATGAGCTGACGTTGAGCTACTTCCCACGGGAGATTATGGCAAACTCGCGTCACTATCGGTTTTTGGTCGTGCACATTTGCCACGCACGAGAATTACACAGAAATGCAAATCACAACGATCAACGGGAACGGTGAGGAAATCTGGAGAACCTGGAAAANAAAAGTATCAGAAAGGCTGCTGGCTTAATCATCCGGTGAAACTGCAGTCACCGATGTTAGCTTTTTTCTCTTCTTGACTTTGTGTGAACCCAATTATCATGGTGTACGTACTTTACTTTTTTGCCACTGAAAAGTAACGTGTGTGAAAGGGACCTCCCCTAACTATCGATTGATCAAACAGAATATGGGTTAACAACCTCATACGATGGTAAAGCGCGTGGCGCATCCTGAACACACTCGTCACCTTAACGTCAGTCCCGTGCAACCACAACACATCGCCTGATTACTCACATTACTGGTTGGTGACTTCAAAGAACATTATCAAGTTTGGAGTTCCCAACATCGATCAGGTTTGCTGCGGAACACGCCACGCATTCGTCCTTCCCTGAGAGGCGTAATGAAGCTTGGAAGGGTGCTTCACTAACAGCAAAATGTTTCAAGGTGGAAAAAATGATTCTTTTTTTCCTAGACGATATTGTGGACTATTGATTGAGTTCATGTGAGTGAATAGGCTTGCTGGTTGGGATTTACCGATATGAGATCGAAGCTTACCTAGCCATTGTAAAGTTGACGCGTCAGATTGGGTACAGGCTTCGTAAACTACACAAAGTATCATTTGCTTGACGTCATCAAACGCCAATTAACGTTTTCTGAAACGCTGCGTCGTGCTTTGTGTTATTTTAACAAATTGGTAAAGTTTAGTGGTAAAAGTCAAGTAAATTTTCGTGTAGTTAAGAACACTGTTGACTGATCAATGGTAGTATTCGGACTGGGTTGTCTTTTTCGGCTCACAGCTTTCGCCCTTCTCAACCCTCACCTTACTATCTCTACATTCTCAATAAACTTACTAATAGCTTTCCATCTCCTCGTTCTTCAACTCCTAGTTGCAACTCAATCAGCAGTTCAACCGTTTTAAGCCGTTCATCTAACTTCTCTAATAGCACAGAATCATTTGATCCACTTTTGTTTTGGGAAGATCTGATCGGAATCGATCAATGACTACAAACACACAGTGAGCTTTTTTTAGTTGAGCTGCGCCCGAATATGCACAATACTTCGGAATTCTACAAGTCCTTGAATAGTGGCGCCATTTCGCCAACAATTAGTTGTTTCGGTACTATTCTACTATTACACCCTCAGAACTATTCTACTATTACACCCCCAAAAACTATTCGCCTATAGGGGTAATCCGATGCCCTGACAACGAATATGACCTTCATTTTTGGCGTTGGCGCCATTTGGCTCCAATTGGCGCCAAATTGGCGCCAGTTTGCGCCAAATGGCGCCAGCGCCAAAAATAAAGGTCATATTCGCTATCAGGGCATCGGATTACCCCTATAGACGAAGTTTCATCGAAAATTAAAATTTTGAGTTTTTGGGGGTGTAATAGTAGAATAGTACCGTTGTTTCATCTACAATAAATTCATAGCCCTTCTTGCCTTCTGAAAGACTCCTTAATAATCTCTTTGTTCAACTTCAGAAGTTTTTAGTTCAGGAATATTTCCACCTTTAAATGTTTGCTGACCGTTTTTGATAAAGTATCTTCGCATTGGAAGGTCGGGTTACTTTTTTGAAAACGCCAACATCAGGGCTAGTTTTGTGAGTATTCCAAGTATTGGGTCATTAATTTAAGGGAAGCCTTTAACTAGGGTGATGAGGATTTGCTCACTTACAGCTGTGCATTTAAGCGATGGGTGTGGTTTTGAATTGTAAGTGCTGGATAAAATTGTCCTGCCGAAATAAACTGGTCATCTAGCTAATAATACAGCAATTGACATTCTTTTTTTTTTTACTAGAAAGTGCCTTTTCAGTACTCGGCGAACTTCTTCGAAAAACAAATTGCTCCTTGTACTATCATCCTGAAGGTCGTGCATACTTTCCACCTTTTATATGCATAATCACCAAATGTTATGAACAGATAGCGGCTCACTGTCAGTGTTGTAAAATGGTGTCTCGAAAGACCCAGAAGCCTCACCAATGCTTGTTTTTTATTCATCCAGATGTTCGACGGTGGACACGAAAGTGATGACGGCAACAATCGTAATGATGAGAATGTGCCGATAAGAGAGCCCGACCCAGATGAGGGAAGCTCAGATCAGGAATCGTCTGATGAAGTTGCACCAGCGGAACACGAAGTCAATGTAAAGCCTAATGTTTAAGTCTGTCATTTTTCAATTANTCTTATGGTAGTCGAGTTGATTCTATACGCAATATTTTCCATTTAGTTGCAACTCGGAATCCGGAATGGTGTTAGACAGTTCCTTAGAATATTGAATGCGCGAGTTAGGAATGGGAATAATCGAGCCATGGATGCAGCCATGCGTGACTTAGATTCTTCTGAAGAGGAATCATTCGACGAAGATGACGGTCATGCTCCTGAAGGCAATGGTGGAGCGAATCCGAATTTCGATGTTCAGGTACGTATTGCTTTTCAATTTGAACTAACATTTTTCCTTATTAGATAATGACTGGAAGGTCAGGGTCTGGTCCATCATTCAGTTCTCCATTAAAAGGACGGACAGAGTGCTTGTTGTTGTTCTTATTTTGTTTCAAGTTTGTAGAATTGTAGTACCTCAAAACAAAATCGAAGGGAAGTGAGTATTGAGCAAGAGCACCATTCATTCTTTCAACTAAAAAAGAGGAGTTCTGCTGAAATGTCGTAAACCAAATTTGCTTCATTGGGTATCAATCGGGTCCGCGTAAATCGGGAGTATGGGGTTTTCACACTGGTGATCTGTTTGACCACTAAAGAGTAGAAGTTTTAGGAGTCTTCGAAACATCAGTATTTGTTCAAACCTGCCCGAGCATCCGAGGAAGTAGACGTGGGAACCACCATGTGGCTCCAACCAGGGAAAATTCATACAGTTCCAGTCATCAGCCTGGACCTTATTGTATTACCGGGTATTTCTTTGACGTGTGCGCAGCTGAAGCTTGATTTGCTGCGATTTCACTCTAGTTCAGGTCAAATGGTTCCTATGCAAATTCATAACACCGTCTCTCGCGCTATTGTACAAAGAGCTATTGACGGCAAGAGCTATCTGGGGTTATTACCAATAATTCAAGGCGAAACGGGGATGAACAAAGAACGCTACGGGATTCTGTTGCAGGTCAGAATGGATTTTGTTGTGCTTCTACTGAAGCAGGTAATTATAAATTCTGCTTCATCGTATGTAGTGTTTCAGGTTAATAAGTATCTAAATGACGGGCTCACAATGAAGGTTCATGCTATTGGTCGGCAGCGATTCCGAATTATTTCAATGGATAACGAGACCTCAAGGTTCGTAGAACTCGGATATTCGTTTGTCTCCGGTCACCAATGCTCGATTAGTTATCACAACTACTCATTGAACAAGTCATACAATGGGAAATCTCGATCTTATTGATTCACAGCAGAAACAGCTAACGTTCTCTTTCTGCTAGGTTAATTGACTGCCGTTGGCAAGGCCTCTGGAAAGGTTACACCAGATGTTATGCGGGCTCGGCCTAGTGTTGCACCAGGTTTGGCGTTGTGGCAGGGTGTGACATTAAGTTTTTGACAGTTTTTGCTGATCTAGTAATCGCTTTTTATGAGCTGAACATCGCTGCAAATCGATAGTTATTCTTCGTGAAACTCGTATTATTTTTAAACGAAAAATTCGGTGCTATAACTCAAATGTGATCCAACTAGTAATTCATGACTAGATGAAATTATTGTGATTAGATGGAAAATTGTTCAATCTGTCCGTAATCATGATTTATCAGTTGAGCTTGGAGTAAATGGGCGGGGTTTCAAAAAGATCGAGGGGTTTTGCTCCATTCATTTTACAACCTCTCCAAGTCTGTTTTGAATTTGACTTCGACATTGTTCTTCGATAAATCGATGACTTTAGCACGTCGATGGCCAAGGTTGAAGTTCTAAGTGACTTAATGCGAACACCATTGTTACAAGCCATATGCCCTTCTAAAGTTTGGAACCTGTCAGAGAAAAGAGTAATATGCTTTCGGTTTCTTGCTTTCACCAGCGGCTTTTCAATTTAGCGTGCTTTCAGAAACTAGCGATTCTTTCCGAGATGTCCAATATTCCCTCATTCGTTGCAGATAAGACAAACTTGGTTTGTTGTTGTAACATTTCATTTTGGGCTCAATTACTGATTGACCGATTTTTCTAAACAGTTTGGCTCCAAGTTTAGAACAGGCAGTGCGAGGAGCTCGGATCTTGGATGAAAATGTGGTTCTCATCCGATAAAATCCAAGGAGCACTGGATTTGGTCGGTTTTCTCGTTTTAGTAATTTACTTGTTGTGTGACCTACTATGTAGTTATTGATGTTGTGGTTCAGATTATATCCGTTTAGGGTCCCATAAGCTTCAGCTATTGGGCCGCACGGAATATTCCAATGACCCTTTCGGCTAAGTACGAACATTTGGTAGAGGATGAGACCAACCTACGCGTTGCCTCCTTATTGAATTTGGTTGATCAGGTTGTTCTCGTTTTGGCCGTCTCCACTATTGATCATGATGAGGGTTAATTTTAGATGACTGACCTGGTATGCCGAGGCTGCGGATTACTAATTTGCAGTGTCCGTGATATTGTCAACATGAACAGTGAAGGGACCAGCTCTCACTTCGTCAATAGTGGTCAGCATTCTTGATTTTGATTTTCCTAGTTCTTAATCGGCTTGAAACTAGTTTCAGTCCTTCTTGACTATTAGGACTATTAGGCTCTTAGATTTAGGCTCTTGAAATTACCTGACCTAATCTTTCCATGCCTCACAAAATAGTTGTCCATCTCTGTGTTTTGAGTTTTGATTTGTGGCGCTTCTGTTGCCATGACTTTCGCGGAACGCAGAGTCCAGCCTAGTTTTTGCTTGCTATTTGCTTGTTAGAGGCGAGTATTCAGAAGACGAAAATGGGATAGACAATGTAGAATAGGGTTATATTTCAAAACAAGTCTTTGGCATCTTTTATGGAGACTTGGTTGATTTGGTTCTTATTGGAGCTGGCTATCGTTCTATGTGAAGTTATGCTGCATATAGAATGATTTCAGCGGGATACATCCACGAAATGGTAACCGTATCGTTAGCTCAGAACTTCGTTCCTCGGGATCAGCCTTGTGCGAAATTCAGCTGGTTCCCTGGGTGAGTTTTCATTCTTACATTCTTTTGTTTTTCTTTTTTAAAAGTTTATTTCTAGTTACAAATGGCAAATCATTGAATGTCGCTTCTGTATGGATCACCTGGGATGGGAGTTTACCTCTAGACGATACAATCCATCGAAATTCTACGGAATAACGAGGAAAGCAGTTGTGCCTCGTAAGGCAAATACTGATAAAGAGGAGCATGTTTAATCTCTCCCACACCATTCTCAACTATGCGCCGGCATAACTTGGCTTAAAGATGTGTTACTATTCTCGGTGCACTCGGTGCAAATTTACTAGTCGAAAGAATTCGTTTTCGAGGTCCCTACGGTTGCTTATGCCATGTAGATATGACTTATTTGTACATATGTAGATAAGATAGTTGTGGCCACTTGTGCTTTATCCGCACACTTTACAATGTTTCTTTTTTCTGCTCTTACTTCTTCCGGTATGCCGAGCAGAAGCTATGGTGGCAATTGATTGTGTACGCCTGTCGCATTATTTCTACATTTCGACTGATTGTATTGTAGAGTGTTTCTGGAATGAACACAATTCTTCATTATTTTCCTGTTTATGTAGCACTTGGTCTTTGACCACGCTACTTGTGTAGCTGTATCCCGCTATTTTTTGTCTACAGTTCATGGAACGATTTTATAATTATTTCTAGCAAGCAAATCATGGCTGATATCAAGCCCAATCATACAATTTACATCAACAACCTCAACGAGAAAATTAAGAAGGATGGTGGGTTGCCATTGGTTGAATTTCGGGTTTTAATTTTTTTGATTTGAATTTTTAATCGATTCTTGTTTTCAAAACAATAAGTCATTTCATTGCAGAGCTGAAGAAAGCGCTTCACGCGATTTTCACTCAATTTGGCGAAATCGTAAGTATTATGTCGTTCAAGACGCTGCGGATGCGAGGGCAGGCGCATATCATCTTCAAAGAGGTGAGTTTTTTGGTGTTATATTCTTGACTCGTCTGTAGCGGTCTCTTGCTTAGTAGTTGTTGTACTACTGTTCTACACTAGAGGTGGCATTCAAGCTAAATAATTGGACCTTTTGGTTGATCTTGGTCAGATGCTATATACTAGAGGATTGTGCTTAAATGGATTCGTAGAATAAATAACGAAATAAGTGGTCTGAATTGCACGATCAATATGATCGCTTTCCGATAAAGCAATCGCAGGCCTCATGGGCGCACTGTACTTTTTTCAACCAATTAATCCCTAACATCGGGAAGTAAGGGGCGTACGGTATTTATGTTATTGAATCATGTGCTTTTTTGAAGATTTCTTCCGCGTCAAACGCTTTGAGAGCTATGCAAGGATTCCCGTTCTACGACAAACCTATGGTCAGTAAGTCCTCAGTTTTAGCTGTGCTGTAAACGCTAAGAAGTCCACTCTTTTGTTATTTAGCGAATTCAATATGCGCGCGAAGACTCGGACGTGATTGCTAAAGCCAAAGGAACGTATGTTGAAAGAGCTGTTCGGGCCCCTATCCGTACTCAGAAGAAGAAGAAGGTATAGCACGTCTTGAATTTGTATTGCAGCGTATTAATAGCTACATGTATTCATAAGATTTGCATTCACTTTGTAGTGATACATCGAAGATCCAATTTATAGGGTGCCAAGGGAGCAAGAGGGCCTGGCGATCACGAAGGACCTGCACCGCCCAACAAAATCTTATTCTGCACTAATCTACCTGATGAGGCTACCACTGACATGCTTCAAATTCTGTTCAATCAGTAAGATCTCAGTTATTTTCATTATTACAAGGGAAGGGAAGGGAATAATCTCTTTTTCTTCTTCAGATTCCCCGGTTTGAAGGACATCCGCTTAGTACCGAATCGATCTGGCATCGCTTTCGTTGAATTTGAGTCGGAAGAACTGGCAGCTCCTGCCAGAATAGCTCTCAATAATTTCAAGATTACTCCAGAACAGCACATGAAGGTCGACTATGCCAAGAAATAAATCATATGGCCAGCTAATGTCGTTGAAAGTTGTTGACGTGTTGTTGTGTACTAAATATGATCTTCAGTTTGTCAGTGAAACTTTTGAATTTAAGTGTGTACGTGTTGTTTTTTTCCTCATTTGGTGTTAAACATGTTATTGAAGTAAACGGCTTATGAGTTTTTTTTGTTGTCGGGCATTGAGAAACCGTTCGTTGACGCTACACTACTTCTGAATTTAACGTTTAAGCGGCCGCAATTCATGAAATAAGTAGGGGAGCTGCGCGTGCGGTCGCGAGTGAACACTTGGACACGTAAAACAAGGGGACATGTGCTCCCATATAATTCACAGCGTAGATTCAACCATGACATAGGATTTTTGAAGGTTAAAGAAAGCTTGGTTATAAAGCAAGTTCTAAATTCAGATGGCGAGAGCGGCTCTCGAAATAACCTTATCGCTTGCATCACGCACGGCTGTTTTACGGTAAGTAAATTTCATCTCTCTTGTTTGCTCAAGTTGCGCTCTGGATTCCCCGCCTCTACACGTCCCCTTTATGTGATTTCGTTTCACTTGTACTTCTCCCATCAGACACCTCCAAATAACATATTCTCCTTATAACTTTGAAATACTACTTGGTTCGGGACTTAAGTGAGTGGTGGTGGTAAGTGTAGTCCACTAAGTTCTTGAAAAAACGTTTTTTCGTTATTGTTGTATATATTTTGTGTCAAACTTCATCTTTCTTTTCAGTTCGTCATGCCAGGCATGGCGTTCATGCGGGAAGATTGTGTCCGACTGTAGCCGCCCACAGGAGACGAATTGTTGGAATTGCAGTGATGCTGTCGAGTGTACAAAGCAGTTCTTTTGTAATCATTGTGAGTATGATTTTCTCTATTGCTCACTGTAGGACTTCGATAGCTCACAAAAAAAAACTGTGGGAATCAAGTCAAGACCATTTCCTGCATTAGGCTACGATATGAAGGAGGATAAGCCTGATTGGACACGATGTAGATGTCCAGAATGCATTAATAGGTTCTATTTGGACCTGAGGTCAAGCAAAAGCCCACATCGTTTTAGGAAGAAAAGAGACTTCAATAGCAGTTGATTTATTTGATGCATTTGTGCATTTATATGCTCAATACAATAGAATCTTGTCTCTTAGGTCACACTATACAACCACCTCCCGAAACTCAAAACTTGTTCGAATACTTGGGACTACCAGTGTCTTTCGAAATTGAAGACTCTTTACTCAAGAAAAGGTGAGCCGATCGATATAATAGTCGGATAACTTCGAACAGTTCACTGTTCAGGTTTCGTGAGCTACAGTTTCAACTGCACCCGGACAAGTTTGCTCGAGCATCAGATCACGAGAAAGAGATATCCGATGAGCATTCTCGGAAGTTGAACGAATCCTACAAGACACTATCGGAACCGCTGCTTCGAGCCAAATATTTGCTGAAAATTTTGGGAGAGAGCAATGGGACAGGTGAGATATCAGAAATGCCTCGTGATGTGTGAAGTAACCAATTTGTGGACCAGAGGGCAGGGAGCTCGTGTATGTGAAATGCAACGCACAACGTACGCATTCCTATCAAAACATCGAGGTGCTTTGGTGATGAAGGAATTTCGTAGTTTTTAAAGCACTTTCTGTCCACCAAGTTTGCACTGGTTCGGCTACCAGCTGAAACGACGGGCTTAGTCGCTTCCTAGCGCTTGGATGATATCATCCGTTGATTTTATCAAAAAATTGCATATCCACAGACATCCATGTTTTCTCTTAACATTTTTTTATCATGATTCTATTTGGTTTCAGCATTGAAAATCCCCAATTTACAGGAAAGGACCTAGATCCTTCATCATTGATGGAGATGATGGAGCGAAATGAACGGGTGGCAGAAATGAGCAAAGCAGAAGAGTTGACGGCAGAGAAGGACACTGTACAAAGAGAGATCGACGGTATCATGGCAGAGTTGGGCAAATGCTTTGCAAAGAAAGACTTTGAAGGAGTCCGAACGAACATCACAAAGCTCAGCTATTTGTATTCATTGCGTTCTTCGATTGATAAACGATTGGAGAATAAGCTGAGCGCTGAGAATGCGTAAATACATATATTTTATCCCAAGTAGATTGTTTGTTGCTTAGTAGGCTCAGTTGAACCTCCATTTCTATTATGCTAATCGCTGCAGGGGTACTACCAGTCAACATAAAATCGAAAAGAAACAATTTAGGATGAACTTATTGAAGGTGTATATATCGATTTGAATGGTGTTTACGGCACCCACTTGACTTTATTAAAATGGGTAAATTGGAATGAGATAACAGGGACAGAGTCGAATAGAGAGATACATAAATGATGCGCGAACTTTTGGAATGTCGCACTTAGGATTGATTAGGAGATCAAGTGATAACAGTGGCTTTATTTGTCATTACTGTGTTGCTCGGTGGTAGTGAATAAGTTCACGGTTGTTTCCATTTGTTCCTTCGAATAACAATCTCTTCTCTACAGCAGTATTGATAGTAAACAGTAGATAAGATATGTACAAACACTCTGTTATTCTAGGCTCCAATTTCTAGGATGTACACGCATTTCACGGTGTTAAGTTTGTCCCAGTGATAATTATATTCTGTAGATAAGGTGTAGCCTAGATCAATAAATATATACTATTTTTCGAAAGTTCTTTTTCGAAGGCTTTGTTGGTTCAGTGTTGGCAATCGCCCCAAAGTAGAAAATCGATGTCATCCTGCGGTTTCCCCGATGAATGGGTGGCTTCTGCCAGCCGGCTTGCAGTGAATTGAAGTCTGAAGGGTTACCACTTCTCGTGGGTGTTTGCAAAACTTGACTACAAGTTGAGAGTAATGAAAAGTTTTTGTTAGTCAGTCTTTGTTAGTGAGGGCCCAAAGCGTTCCTGGCAATTTCCTGTGTAGGATGGAGTGAACGGGTCCTTGGAGGGACTTCATTCAGGCTTGATTGCTTCTGCAACTGGTGTTAACGGAAGAAACGGTACATTCCAGAGATGCTGCTTACCACCGAACACTCTGTTTTTTCTCTATTTTCTCCAAGTTTTTTTTTTCAATAGGGGAGGTCTACAGGTCGCTAACAGCGCATGAATGAAATGGCCTTGGATTTTTCCGTCCCGAAAAAACCAATCGATGTCTCCTATCTCTCGCTCTCGCCATTCCGATCGTTCGATGGCACGACCACGATGCGAGCCGTCTGTTCAATCGGCGCTCTTCCTACCGGTGATTTTTCGCAGAGATTACGGGCGCCATTGTCATTGTGTATATTCCCATTGCACTCCTGTCTACATTTTTATCATCGCTCCAACATTACCTGTCTTATGTAAAAGAAAGAATTAACATTTTCAAAATCGAGGGGGCGTGGCTAGAATGTCTTCAGAGTAGGGTGAGTTTGAACATCCATTCTGCACAGAATTTTGGCAAGAAAGCCTCAAGTTTTGCTTACCATTCCGCTCGGATAATTATCCAGGTTTGAGCTGTCTCCGAACCTATGGAGTCTAGTAGTACTCTAAATTCCTTATTTCTCAAAGCAGCACCGAACTACAGTGTACAATTCAAAGTGTATTTGAAAAAGTAAAACTGTTGATATATTCAAAGTACATCCAATTTCAGCCTAAAAGCTGAGATTTAAAAGAAAGAAATTATTGTAATGTACAAAAATTACAAAAGAAGATGTTACTATTTCTTTGTAATTCAGAGAAATCAGTGATACATACATAGCAGGACGGTCTTTGAGTTAGAAGAACAAGAAGAAAACCTCGACGTAGGAATGCCACCCACTAGATTGTAACAGTCACTATGAGGTGATTTGTCAAGTGCATGGGGGTTTTTCTAAAGATGGGGCCGTAAAGAGGACGTTTACGTACGTCACAGTACAATTCACGCTTACGTCATACCTGTGGCTCTTTTTCATTTCTTTTGCAGTTTTCCTAGTCCTTAGAATCATCCCAAGTGCAGCTGATACAGTAGTCCTTTTTCCTGTGGTTTTTGTCAGAATTCCATTCCCAGTCCCATTCGTTTTTCGGCTTTTTTTTGTTTGAAACCCGTATTTACTCATGCAATCGGTGGCGCGACGATCAATGAATGGTCGTTCTCGCTCCCACTCCATTTCCCTCGTTCCCAATCGACACCTCCCAACATTCCCATTGCTCTTTACTGTAACTTTGATCCTATTTTCCGAAGGTTATCGTGTTCTTGTCCTGGAGGTTTAGTAAACATAAAACAAGGCCTAGTTTCAAGGAGTCATTCGGGTTATTTGCATACTTTTCCACTCCACTTTTTCATCATGACCAATGTTTGCATAAGGCATTTGTTTTCTAGAGACGTTCCAGTGGGTTTTCTAAGGGCATGTTCAGTGGCGATAAGGCTGAACGAACGGAGTTTCCACGTGTTCGTCTTTCAGATATTTTTCTCTTTCCTCTTGCTTAAGTGAACGGTTGAAAGAATTAACCAGTCGTTCATCAGTTTCCCAACAGAACACGCCATGCACACGGCTTCTATTCAAGTTCATGATAGCATTTGAATACCTATTCCGCTCATCCATTACTGCCCCTTTATGTACCAAAAGGCTTACTGAAGCTCGTCCTGGGTTCTTGAATGTCTCAGACCTACCCTTCCGCTCGTTTCTTGGATTCTGTTACAACTGATAAGGAATTCTGTGTCTTTTGTACTTATATGGCCCTTTTTGACACCGATAGTCTATATTGGCACTTTCTTTCTCTCAATTGAACTAATTGTTTTTGTATGCTTCGGTTATCAAGTGTGCTTCGATCAACGGTGTGTACTAATTCAATATTGACATTGATTTAGGTTCCCTGTTGACTTTGGGTTCCGTAGTAAAGTAGTACTTTTTGCTTTTATGCTAACTAATGGCGATTCTTTCAAGGTAACCAGAATGACTGTCTCGGCTGAGCTCCGTAATGACCTCGAAGATGCTGCTAACCGTATGCGTATCTCAGCCATCGAGATGACGTGTGCTTCAAAAAGTGGCCATCCGACGTCCTCCACTTCTGCAGGTAGAATATATTTCGCGAAAATTATATTCATGAAGCGAACCCAACTATATTTTTTGCTTGGTGCTGAACATTCCACTCGAATATGAGAGCGTGGTCATCCCCTGATTACCTCAAAAAAGGCTTTCATTTTTCTAAAATGAAATTGAAAGAGATTCACAGCGGTGAATTATCAAAAATTTACAGCTGAGGTTATGTCGACGTTGTTCTTCCACGAGATGAAGTACGACGTGTCCAATCCGAAGTCAGCAAGCGCCGACCGTTTCGTACTCTCCAAGGTAGGTCACTGGTAACTGATTGGGGTGAATTCTTGGTAATTCCAATGAGTTTTTAAAGATTATATGTTCTAGGGTCATGCCTGCCCAATTCTCTACGCGGCATGGGAAGAAGCCGGCCTGCTTTCTAAAGAACAAGTCATGTCTCTGCGTAAAGTCAATTCTGATGTTGAAGGACATCCTACACCGGTACGATTGCTTCCCAGTTCAAATGAGTCGCAATTAGTAGAAAAGATATGCTATACAGATGAATCCTACTGATCCCCTTTCCACAATTTTTCTTCACCTCTGGAGTTCTATAAAGTAACTCTCACTGCCTCTTTCAGCGCCTCAACTTTATCGATGTTGCTACTGGCTCACTTGGACAAGGTCTGTCGTGCGCTGCTGGAATGGCCTACGTTGGAAAGTATATCGATAAGGTACACATGAATCATTTTGTCACAGCTGATCAGTGGCTAGTCCTCCAATGGTCCATTGCAATGTATTCACTCGCCTGTTATAGGCGAGCTATCGGGTGTTCTGCCTCCTGGGAGATGGAGAAACAGCAGAAGGGTCAGTATGGGAGGCAGCAGGTTAGAAATAAGTATTGCTTTCCTTTTGTTTAATATATTGAAATATGAATGAGAGTTTTTGGGTCTACTATTAAATACTTTGCCTACTCTCGCTTTTGAAATGGAGAAAGTAAATTTCTAGTTTTTAAACTAATAAATTTTAGCGTTCTCCTCATATTACAAACTTGATAATCTGGTTGCTATCGTTGACGTCAATCGCTTGGGTCAGTCACAGGAGACTGCACTAGGACATAAGGTCGAGGTCTATCAGGTCAGATTCAAGAGTCATTTTTGCTACGAAGTCTCAGTGGCTTGCATTAAGCTAGGCTAATATGATCCGATGTCCAGGCGTTCAAGCCATAACAGTACCTACGATTCGTTTTTTAGGCTAGATTTGCTGCGTTCGGTTTCAATGCTATTGTCGTTGACGGCCATGATGTCGGTGCACTCATCAGTGCATACGAGACGGCCAGAAACACGAAGGTACGGTTTCTAAATCGCACTATGCAAGAAAGCTTCGTATGATAGAAGGGTTATTCTCCTTCATTGTTTCAGGACAAACCAACAGCAATTATTGCCAAGACTTTGAAAGGCAAAGGGATTGACGGGATTGCTGATCAAGATAACTGGCATGGAAAGCCTGTCCCAGCTGATAAGGCGAGTTGCAAAGAATATCTTTCATTTTTCCATAACAGTTTGTATTGAAAATACCGTTTGCTTCAGATTGCTGCTATCAAATCCCGCCTTAACGGCAGCCACAAAGGTAAACTAGTTCCAAAGAAACCAGTTGAAGATGCACCGAAAGTTGATCTTCATGTGGGCTCCATCAAAATGGCAGATCCTGCTTACAAGTTAGGTGATAAGGTAATGGCACTCGCTAATTTATTTGGTTATTATTTATTTCAAACACACTGCTTGACTTACCAAACTCTTATAGGTAGCAACACGAGCTGCCTACGGTACCGCTCTAGCTAAGCTCGGTGATGTTAATCCTCGCATCATTGGACTCGATGGTGACACCAAGAACTCGACTTTCTCTGAGAAACTTCTCCAGGTAAATCGTTACTTTGCATAATTTATTTCGTGAGTGCTAGCACCCGACCATACCCTTAATTCGTTCCAGAAACACCCACATCAATTCATCGAGTGTTTCATTGCTGAACAAAATCTTGTCGGTGTCGCCGTTGGAGCTCAGTGTCGTGATAGAACCATTCCTTTCACCAGGCAAGTTCTCTTGAACCATTACTTTCACCAGGCAAGTTCTCTTTTTAGAAATATCAGTACCTGTCATGATTCTATTTTTTTTNTTTTTTTTCTATCACTACCGCAGCGCACCAGATCATTGAAAAATGTAGACCTAGAGCAAAAGGAATCTACCAGGAGTGAACTGAGAAATATCGTACGTTCTTCAGAAGTTTTGGAGATGGTGTATGCTATGGAAAGGATTTCCCTTGTCTCCACTTCGGTGTAAATCACTCTTATGTCGAGTAGTTTATAAACATTTTACTTTAACCCGCGAAAATCGTCAGAAGTGACTCGGTAACCTTTTTAAGCTTTTCGCGTGACTTATACAACACCAAGCTAACGCGGAAATAGCTAGCTTGATCCTTACTTTGTTGTTGTGTGCTGTGATTTTGTGGATGACTTCTTCTGCTCTTACTGAGCGATTTCCATTTCAGCACTTTCGCCGCATTCTTTACCCGAGCAACCGATCAGATCCGAATGGCCGCCGTATCATTTGCTAACCTGAAATGTGTTGGATCTCATGTTGGTGTGTCGATCGGTGAAGATGGCCCAAGCCAGATGGCCCTTGAGGTTGGTTGCTTTCATGATATCAGTGTGACGTCTCAAATATTTTTGAGAATCTGATCCCTTCAGGATTTGGCCATTTTCCGCGCGATTCCGGGATCGACAGTCTTTTATCCAAGTGATGGTGTGGCGGCTGAGAGAGCAACTGAGTTGGCTGCCAACACTAAAGGCATTGTTTTCATTCGTACAGGCCGCCCAGCACTCCCAGTGTTGTACAAGAATGAAGAGCCATTCGCAATTGGAAAGGCCAAGGTTAGTTGATGGCCGTTTGATTTCAGGGAATTTCTTAATCTTCACTAATCTGTGATTTTTCCTAGGTTTTGAAACAATCGGCTAACGACAAGATTGTACTAATCGGAGCTGGAGTGACTCTGTACGAGTGTCTGAAAGCTGCTGAGCAGTTAGAAAAGAATGGTAAGTAAGCTGAAGATTCAGACGCTCTTCAGCACCTTTCCTACGACTTTCAGGAGTGCATGCTTGTGTAATCGACCCGTTCACAATCAAACCACTGGATCAGGAAACAATTCTTCAACACGCTAAACGCGTTGGGGGTAGAATCTTGACTGTCGAGGATCACTATCCTGCTGGAGGAATCGGAGAGGCTGTAGGTTTCATCAACTCTATTTACTTCTTCCTATGCAGAGCAGCCATAGAGCTGTCCGAATAGTAGATCATTCATAGTTTTCCGATGTGGCGATTCAGCCGGGCAGCATAGAGTACGTCTCTTTTTTGCCTGAGCCCTTTCTTTTCTAGGTATCATCAGCAGTGGCTGATCATCCCGATGTACGCGTTCGTTCTATCTGTGTGCAAAGCGTGCCTCGTTCGGGAACTCCAGATGAATTACTCGATCTGTTCGGTATCTCTGCTCGTCATATCGTAGAGGCAGTGACCAAATATTAGTAGTTTACATTAAAGTAAGATGAATAGCTTATTAACTGATCATATAGTTTTATCACATTCCTGTTACACAATGATTAATGGTTCCGGTTCTACTGGTCGATTACCAGTGAATGGTTGTTAAGATTATAACGTATCACATTCGATTGAAGAGGCAAACGTTTAATTGGATTTTTATGAATAAATACGAGTGTCTTATCTTGGATGATATGCAGTGGCAAAATTCTGAAAGGGCATGTACATATACTGGAGGTTGGGCGTTTCTCTGGTAGAAGCTCGCCTTAAACTACACGAGCTTCTCAGAACTTTGGAAAATACTACCTTTGTGATCGCCCCACCCTGCTACGGCACCATAGGTTGAATGCAACTTACATGAATTATTCATTGGACTGCTGAATTTGTCTACCTTTTGAACAAATTAGATTTTCGCTTAGGCCGTTCATTGGTCTCTTCAACTACACGTCGGTGAACCCTCAGAGACCACTGACGTAGTTGGTTTTATGGTTTCAGTCTTAGATTCATTACTGGGAGATAATCTGTATCTCCTTATGCCTTATGTTACGCTATTAAGTGTGTGAAATTGTTAATTAAAGATGACAATAGATGGGCAAAAAGTAATGAAAACCGGTTATTTGTTAGAGTGAGGTTCCTAGACAACGCCGAGAAGCCATCAATCAGCTACGCTAGCCATGGAAACACTGGAGATCTTTTGAGAGCCTCGATCTTTGCCCTTACACACTGAGTTCATAAAAAACAACTTCGAATAAATAAGAGATTGTTCTATAAATTAAATGCCTACCTTGTAGAATTCAGATATAGGTGTAGGGAAAGTCAGAAAACAATGGCCCACTCAGCAAAAGGAAAATGCTCAATAGCTAGCTTTGCCACCAAATGGATAATGTGTCTATGGGCCCTTCAAAGCCCAACGTCAAAAGCATTACTATAAAATAAGACTGAAACTAGAAGTAATGAAAAGCTGGAGGATTCGCCCATCACTGGTTAAAATGGTACTATAATTACTCCATTCCAAATACATCCTAATGTTCCAGCGCTCACAGTGGCAAATGATAAAAAACGTTGATAATGTGTTGTAAAAGATGGTGTTGATTGATAAGGACTGCTGAAGAAAGGAAAAAACCTCTCGGGGTCGGACTTTGGGTGAAAACGAGTGACGACAACTGATAAAAGCCAAAAATGGAGCCTCAAGCGATGATCGGCCAAGCAATGCACTTTCAATAAAATCTGAAGGTTTGCCCATCTATGATAGATTCAAAGATGAGGCACGAATAATACCTAAAAATCGCTTCACATTACGGTACGGTAGAGTAAAACAGCCTAGCCAGTATTCCTCAACTCATGAACTTATGCTGAGCTACACTGAAATATCTCTTAAAACTGTGGTATCAAAAGCATGTCAAAATTTGTGATTCAAAAGGCTGAAATGGTGACTAAAGACCCCCAAAAGAGCAAAACTCCTGATTTCAGGAAGCGTGCAGCACGGCCTTAAATTACGCGTTGTGGGTGGCGCGAGTGGTTGGTTGATGGCCTCGCCCCACTGGTCACTTGCATTGATTATCTTTCGCTGGTAATAACACAAGGTCATTCTTCCCTAGATGGAATACGCCCTCCTTCTGCCCCAATCCCGCTAATCGGAGTGGCTAGATTGAGAAAGTCTTGCCAGTTTTTTGCCATATAAATTATAGAAAGTCTTCGATTCCAGGCATGTGCCTTTGTTCCCGAAGTAACTCAATTTCATGTTTTTTTTTCTTCTGAGCTGATTTTAAGGACATCTCGAGCTTGAAATTTGTTGCTGCTTCTCTCCTCTGCTATTGATCCCCGACTCTCGTCGATTTTCTATTTTTTTGGAATCTCTGAAACAATATTGCGGTAGGGAGTTTGCTTGGCTAGCCGAACAAACACAGTTTACAGAAAATTTCTACGACCAGTAGCCAATCTCTGAGTTATAGCTGAGAAAGAACTGATCGAGTACCCTTAAAAATCATAAGAACTCCCCTCCCTTTTACAAGAATGTCACAAACTCTGACCTTGGCTCCAATATTCACTGATTGTAAGATTAGAGTTCTGAATAATATGATCAAAGCTCCTTTCTGTTTCCTGAGATCATTTTCTGAATTGTGCCAGCTTTGAGCCTTTTGCTGAAGAATTCAGGTTCCAGGAGGATTGAATCTCCAGGTATGGGTCGGTGGCTAACATCTTCTCTAAGGAGAGCTCTACTGGTTCAATCCGTGGGCTAAACTATTCGATGTCCACTTTTCTACCTTTTTTGGTCATAGCTAAAGCTGGTGCTTATGCGTATGTTTGCTGAAGTCTTCATTAACTTTACTTTGTAAGCCATTGCATAGGTCGAGTGCGCACATTTTAATGCCTCATATGATGCGGACGTATGATGATTACATGGCGCATCCGGTGCACCTGTAACAATTGTAATTTGGCAAGTTTGTTTCTTGTGGCTCGAAAAATCTCTTTGTCTTATCTCATTGATCTCACGATCGCCGTATGGTGACTGGTCGATGACCTATTTTAGCGCTCTTCAGTCTCTTTTTCCTGGTCCCGAGTACCAATAAAGGCAACGTTCTCTGTAACTTTTCTACAGTCATGATTTTTTGGCTCAAAAACTCGTTCCTTTTTCTTCCGACTTTGTTATCAAATAAACGCCACATATAATCAGTACCATTCTGTCATTTGATGCAGTTGTCTCTGTTTGACGTTCTCCGAAATTCCGTCCATGGCGGTACGTTGCCTTAATTTGGTTGATACCACTGGCTTCCCACAGTTGTACTGTACTCTCTTAAATCTCCATTTTTAATTTGTTCATTAATTTATTCTTTTGCGTAACCTCAACCCATTCTGGCAGTTCTAGTCAATCATCACGTGTTTTTATGACGCATATGTCCGCCTGTCAACACCTACGCCTACCCTACTCGTTCAGTCCTAGGGATACCTGTTCCTTGAGTAAAGTCGCTGAGATTTCTTTTGACCTTCGAAATTTTTGGTTGATGCCTCTTTGGTCTCAGTCAAGTCAGTTTTGGTCTCAAGGAGCAGCGGTCTTAGCTGAAGCGTTCCTTAGAGAATAGGCAAATCGCTTTCTCTGGACACACCAGTATTTTGTCATTCATTGATAACCTTTTACATTAGTGCAAAAAAAAATTGGGTTCAGCGAATTCCTTGGGAGGGAAGGAAACGAAAGCACCGCGCCGCAGCCTCATGCGACTCAGCTTTGAAGTTACTAAGTCGTCTGGACTATTCTGACATGGCCGTCATGTCTGGTTATTCCTTACCAGAACTGTCTTACCATTCCTAAAGACCGTTTCTTGCCGGTATGCGTTCGACGGCGGTGTTTCTGATTAGCGTAAAAACGGGGCCGTTATCAGTAACCAGTTCGTCGATGGCGGCTCCCAAAAGTTGTAATATCACTCAGGCCGAAAATCGTCCACCAGCGAATACGGTGTGCCGTTTCCCGTTCTTTGTAGGGAAATCAGGTAAACTGTCAAGGTGGTTTACCCACTCATTGATCATATGACAAAGTTCGCTGCACTGTTACGATACTTGTGATTAACTACAGTGGGAAGTGCTCTTACCACCATTCGTGCACTGCCCGTTCCCATCACGTCCATCTATCGTTTTTCGTTACGTAATTTCCATAAAATTACTCGTCTTTCGGAATTCTGCCAGTCCCCTTAATGGGTAGCTTACGTTTACCTGAAAATAACAGTATGGTTACGTACTAGACAGCCTATGATCGGTGGGAGGGGCCGTTCACCAATAGTAGGCAATCCTTGAAAGCATGGTCACCCTCCAAGCGCTACATTCAGTTCTTTGGCAAATAAAATTTGTCCATTACTTTTACTTCCCCTAGACCAACTATCCCAATCTTCTGTTTTTGATCACCGTTTCCCACTCTGTCGTTCTTTGCCACCAGCGGGTGCCTGGCACATAAAAATGGCTGATCTTCGACCGAGAGGCTATGCTGAGCACAGCAAAACCATTCATATCAGATTTTATTGGCAACTTGACCACATAAACCGAAAAGCCTAGCTTAGAAACTGTTCTTCCGCATTTCTACCCCAACATAGGTTGACTCGTCCATCCTGTTTTGTGATGCTAATGATGGTTTTCTTGCCTAGCCATGGCTGTATACTTTTAGCATTGGATTCCCAAGGAATCCTTATCTAGTGGGTAGGCAGATCCTCGTTACCCAGAATGCAGTTAGATTTCAATCTCTGAACGTGGTTGGGTCTTTTGTTTGCAGAACGTGTCGTAGGACAAATTTCTGTGTGGCAATATAATAAAAGTCGTTTTCCTGGTTAAACCACACATTCAACATTCATTCGGTATTACAGCGCTGTTCAAATGCATATTTGGTTTTCAGGACGACTTTGTGGGCTGAGTATTGTACAGGTGCTCTCTTTGATCTTAATGGACCAGTCTGTCTTCTTAACCTTCAGAGAAGGTGTAGCTCGTACTCAATTTTCCAAAGCCCACTAACAGACGATTTCTTTCGCTTCTTCCCATCATTCCTTTGAAACAGTTTCTACAAATCGCTGCAATAGTGGATGGTGGTTTTCTTTTCATCAGAAAGGTCTTCCAGTAATTCCAAATCTCGTTTTCATCGTTCTCCAAGACCAGTTCTTCGATTAGGGCCTTTGAAGGGAGGTAGTGAATGAATCAGAGAACGGCATTACATACCGAACTGAACTATGACGGTTCTCTGTAAGTTTCTCTCAGCCTACATAGATGGGAGCAATGATTCAGATAGGTGAGCGAACTTTCCATCATTGACGTCTTCAAGGAGGTCACTGACTGATAAGTCTCTTTATTACATCAAAAATCTAATCACTAATCAAGCTTTCATTATCGATTTGTGTATCATGAAGTGCACTGTTCGTGGTTCCTCTCTATTTTCCAAAAAGGTCTGAGCCTCCTTTCACAGCTATCATGGTCTCCTTTGAGGGGTAGAATGGCCCGAACTGATTTCCTTGACTCTCTGTAAAGAATCGCTGTCGTTCATTTCGATCAATACCGATTTGTTCCGAAGTGTCCCATGTACTTGATCAGAAAAAGTTATAGGTGATGAAAATTGCTGTGATCGGCCAGTCGGCATTCGGGGTAGACGTCTACAAAGCTATACGAAAAAATGGCCACGAAGTCGTCGTTGTTTTCACGATTCCCGACAAAAACGGCCGCGAAGACCTCCTTGGTAGGTCATTCCTCTGATAATGAGCTTTTTCCTCACATGTTCAGCCCCTTTTCAGCCCTCGAAGCAGCAAAGGACGGCGTTCCAGTCGAAAAACCTGCTCGATGGAGGAAAAAGATTGCTGAAGGCAAATTTGAGGTGTGAAAGTTCCAAGTGAGGGAGTTCCTCCCTGTATTTGTGATTTACAGGTGCTGCCCAGTATGCTGAAGCTCTACCTATCATATGGTGCTGAGTTGAATGTGCTACCATTCTGTACTCAGTTCATTCCACCTGAAGTCATCGATGCTCCCAAATACAAGAGTATCATCTATCATCCTTCGATACTTCCAAAGCACAGGTAGGTATTATTCACTCTTTTGAAGGACAGCCCACCCAATTCAGCCATGAGCAGCCGCTTCCACCACCATGTGAATGATTGTGTCCCCTTCCAGAGGAGCATCCGCCATAAATTGGACTCTGATCGAAGGCGATGAAGAGGCTGGACTGAGCATTTTCTGGGCAGACGACGGCCTCGATACCGGGCCGATTCTGTTGCAGAAAAAGTGCAAAGTTGAAGAGAATGACACTCTAAACTCGCTGTACACAAGATTTTTGTACCCAGCCGGTGTTGAGGCGATGGTAAGGGATCTGAACGAGTATATTGAAGAAAATCAAAGGTCGACATCTACAATTATACTAGATGCTGATTTTCAGGCTGAAGCAGTAGAGCTGATAGCCGCTGGGAAAGCCCCACGAATTGTTCAACCGACTGAGGGCGCTTCTTACGAGCCGTACATCACTACAAAACCAGAACTGGCCGAAATCGACTGGAAAAAGACACAACAGCAATTGCACAACTTCATCAGGGGTAACGACAAGGTAATTTAGGATTAGAATATTCTCGAAGTCCTCGGTTTCCTTTACTCACTCCTTTCAAATGCTTACGTACCTAGAAGTGCATGGCTCACTTGCTCACTGAAAGAATTGATAGACAAATACGATCGAATGGTAGGCTCGGACCTTATTCCTGTATCCCTTCCGTTTCAGGTGCCAGGAGCTTGGGCCACGATGAACGGCGAGAAAGTCACCATGTTTGGAAGCACTCGATGGCGTGGCAAAGTTCCTCCTCCAGAGGCTCGGGAGGTTGAAGTCGCCGAAGTGCCCGGTGGTAAGGTATATGCTCACGAGGGTGGGCTGCTATTACCAGGAAGTGATGGTCGTTGGGTGAGTACTTGGAGAGTTTTCGAGCGAACCTATTGCTAACGATATTTACACGATGACGTTCGGTGGTAGTAAGACCGGTTTCGTTCATGTTACACCGAAACATATTGGAAATCAAAGTAAAAGAACAATAAGCACAAGAATTATTGATTCAGGTAAATGTGGACACAGTCAAGATCGGTTCAAAAACAGTTCCTGCCCACAAGTACGGTTTGGAGGAGGAGCAAGGCGAGAAACTGGTCTATACCGAGGAAGAGGCTAAGATCGTCGAGATTGTCAGGGTCAGTAATCGCTAGACCTTTGAGGTCCTTCTATGATGACTCAAATACTCCCACATGGAAGTTTTTCTTCCAGTGTTCCATAATACTGTTATTGATTGCCTCTTATTTTCAGACCAGATGGTCTGGGTGTTTGAAAAGCTCTAGGTTCATTGTGGATGTAGGGGTGCGCGTGGCGTTGTGTCAGGGAATTCAGTGCAGAATTTACTTACAGCGGCACCTTGGTTCCCTCTGAGAACTCCTTGAATGTACAAGGGAAATGGTCGTTTGGGGGTTGAACACTGAAGTGAATGTGAATAGTTTCCAAAACACAGCCGATGTTCATAATGTAAACCTACTGTGCGCTTGGGGTCCCACTGGGAAAAGCAGTCCCAGAGTCTCACTTTCTTTCTTTCAGGTATGTAGTACACAAGAATAATTGCTGTAACAATATTGCTTTGTTGCAGAAAATTTGGGAAGCAATCCTGAAACAACAGGTGTCCGACGAGACAGACTTCTTCGAGTCTGGTGGCACATCAGCCGACGTCACTCGTCTCGTTGAAGAGATCAAGTTCAACACTAAAGTCGAATTGGAGAACACTGACGTAAGACCATTGCTTCGCCTCTTATTTCCTTCTTTTTTGCCAGTTCATTTATACTCTTCTTTCACTGTTTTTATTTTTGTTTTTTTTTNTTATGATGACTATCCCTCCGTCACTCAGTTACAAAAATTCAGGTGTACATGGCTCCGAAATTCGGTGAAAGTGTTGATTCTGTGATTAGAAAGCTTCGTGGAGGTGACAACATCACTGTGACATATGACCCGGTGAGTTCAGGTGTAGCCTAGCTGATTTTGCACCTCAATAGGACTATAGGCCCTAGTTTAGTCCCCCATTTAAATAACGAATATATTTTTTGAAGATTGTGATGAATGTGAATGGTATGGAATTGAAATTCCCTCATGAAATGTTCATCGATGGAAAATTCGTGCAATCAGCAAGTGGAAGGTACTATTTCAAAAATGAGGTTGGAAGGTGCTGTTGTCGGTTGCAGTAGGATGAGCTATTTAGATTGTACGACACAATAAATCCCAATGACGAGTCGGTGATCTGTAAGATTCCGAAAGCCGATGTCAATGATTTGAACAAAGCCGTGGCTGCAGCTAAAAAGGTGGGTTTTTGTTAGGAAAACTGACAAATTGGTAGGGCCCTTATTGAGGAAGAGACTAGTAATATCCTTACCTAACCAGATCGACGGAGACCTTATCGATTCAAGAAGAGATATTACAATTGTAAAACTAAGCAACATTTTCCGCCAGGACAGGCCTAAAAGGCTTTCGTAGCGACTTTTCAAAAAATCGCCTGACGAGATTCTTGTCAATCGGGAGAGGGAGAAAGGCTACAAGCTCGGCAGGGGAACGTCGGTTACCGTGTCATTCGCTTTTTACAAAAAAAGAGATTAGAAATAGTTTTTAAGGTTGAACTTGTAAGCCAGTGGGTAGAAATTTCCCCGGGGAAACACAAGAGGTGGGAGACGCAAGAACGGCGCAGACTTAGAAGTAAAAAACTTAGATGAAAAACTTACTGAACATACTTATTCGAGGCATTCGAAGATGGTGAATGGCGAAAAATGTCGGCTCGTGATCGTGGAAAGAGGCTCTATAAGCTGGCTGACCTCATGGAAGAGCACAAGGTACGGATTTTCCATTCTTTCCTTACACCAGCATCTGTCTGAAGTGTGCATCGATACTTCTTTTCCCAAACTGTCTTTTACAGGAAGAACTGGCCACACTTGAATCAATTGATGCTGGTGCAGTATATACTCTGGCACTGAAGACCCATGTTGGGATGTCGATCGATGTATGGCGCTATTTTGCTGGGTGGTGCGATAAGATCGAGGTTTGTAGTGCTCAAAAAGGCTTAGTGTGAAGTTCTGAAGGACCTGCACATATACCGATCATCCCACGATGTATGTCACCGGCGGTGGTGCTGAACCGTCACATTGCCCAACTTACTCGTGGGATGAACTAGAAATGGCTTCGCTGGCTAGCAGAGTGCTGTTTTGAAGACACTTTGGGGCATGCAGTCTGTCAGTAGATGGCTGATGTGAAGTTAGCAAATGTACAAGCATAAGGGGCGGAGCGTGCGTAAAATATCAGATAAGAGTCCAATAACCAACTCTGATTCTTCCAGGGCCACACAATCCCGATTTCAAACGCTCGACCAAACTTCAACTTGACGTTAACAAAACGGGAACCTGTCGGTGTCGTTGGTCTGATCACACCATGGAACTATCCTCTGATGATGCTGTCATGGAAAATGGCAGCCTGTCTAGCAGCCGGGAATACGGTCGTTCACAAACCGGCACAGGTAATTACGGCAGCTGTCTTTTGAACAGATGCAAAAGCATTCTGCCCCCGACTTTCAAAAATCCTTTAAATGGATTCATTTGAGGTGACTCCACTGACTGCATTGAAATTTGCCGAATTGTCAGTACTGGCCGGAATCCCACCCGGAGTGATCAATATCGTCACTGGATCAGGAGGTTCGGTTAACTACACTTTGACCATAGACAGAACTTGATTGGGTTCTATTCCGTTTCAGCCGAAGTCGGACAAATCCTTGCCGAACATCAGGATGTGCGAAAAATTGGTTTCACCGGATCAACGGAAGTTGGCGCCCAAGTTATGGCCAGGTCAGAGTTCTTCACATCAGAATAAGCACCCTTGTCCTCAACTCGTTTTTTTAAAGTTTGTTTTTACTGCTATTTACTTATCTGAAGTTTTTTTTTCAGCTGTGGTAAATCTAATGTGAAAAAAGTGTCACTGGAGCTGGGAGGTAAATCGCCATTAATCGTCTTTGCAGACACCGACATCGACAAGGCCATCAAGCAGACATGCAATGCGGTATGTTCCTCGTCTGATCCGTCTCCTCAGAATCGCTGTTCTTTAATTGTCTTCGAACTGCGTTTTTGTAGAGGGTCCGGTTCGTAAACAGTAAACAGCTTACCCTAGTGTATCCCCATCACGGGGTAGGTGCAACCAAAACCCTGTGCGATTCCGGCTAAGAGTTGAATATGTAACTTAGCTGTCGGGGCCCGATGAGACGTGGTCCTTTGATCCTGCTCAGTGATGAACCGACGGAATGTTTAGGTGTTCTTCAACAAAGGAGAGAACTGCATAGCTGCAGGAAGAATTTTCGTAGCCAACAGCATTCATGATGATTTCTTGAAGAAGTTGGTAGAGGAGGCCAAAAAGGTCAGTCTATTGGAATTTTCTTTTATTTCTTCATTTTCTACAATGTCCTATACTATTTTTTATTCATATTGCTTGTGCTTTGAAAACATTTTTTAGAATTTCATTATAAAGAGATATTCAGTACGTCATCGGCGATCCACTTGACAGATCCACTAACCATGGACCACAAAATCACAAAGCTCATCTGGACAAGCTTGTTGACTACGTAAAGAAATCGGTTGCTGGAGGAGCCAAGGTGAATTTTTTAGCCTATCTGAGGAATTCTCCCCATGGCCTTCATCCGAGCTCTTGAAATTTCCAGTATCGGAAAGAATACGGATTTTTTCATTTAAAAAAAATTCTTTATCATATGGTTCGAGATATTTTTTCTTCTCTGAGTTGGGAAGCATTGAGTTTCCACGCCAGGTTTCTAAACTGCGGACTTATTTAGCTGGTACTTGGTGGGGAACGCCTCCCACGACCTGGTCTTTTCTTCCCACCAACAATCCTTGCCGAAGTCGACGACGACAACTTCGCCGCTATAGAGGAGTCGTTTGGTCCGATTATGTGTGTCAGCCGCTTTGATGACGAGTAAGTTTTACATGATGAATAGAGAACGAAAATAGCCGAACTAACATGCTTTGAAAATATAATAAATAGGTGATTATTGTAAAGAAACCCTTCAAAAAAAGCCAAGAGATGGCAGAATAAGCAATTCCATTAATTTGCAGAGCAGATAATTCAGAGAAGAAAGGTAGAACATGAAATTAACTAATTTTCGGAAACCGGAGAAAAATAAATAGACTGGTGTCATGTTATTTTGAAAAAACTCAATTTTACTTTCAAAAAATGTTTACAACGAGTACAAAATTAATTTCAACATAAAAATCGAATTAATAAATGGATCAGAGTAGAGCATCTCAATCAAAAGCAATTTTCCAGTGATATCGACACAGTGATACGACGTGCCAATAAGACTGAATTCGGACTGGCGGCCGGGGTATTCTCGAAGGTACATCATTGTTGATCTCCTTTGCTCATAGAAGATTCTCGATGGAAAAGGTGATCTTCAGGATGTATCGAAGGTGTTACGTGTGGCAGACAGATTACAAGCCGGTACCGTATTTATCAATACCTACCAGAAGACAGATGTCGCTGCTCCCTTTGGCGGATTCAAACAATCTGGCTTCGGAAAGGATCTCGGTAGCTTTCCATTTTTTTTTTNAAGTCTCTGCTTTCGGGGTGAAAGGAGCTAACTCGAGGCGGCATAAACTCCAGTCGTAGGTGTCGAGCACCAGGGTTTGAACAAAAACGATTGGAAGATCGATAGGATCCCCTGAATGATAATAGATATTCTATTTTGTTGCTAATCAGCCGACTAATTCCAGGTGCCGAAGCGTTGAACGAGTATCTTCAAACGAAAACGATCACATTCGAATATTAACTACCATAACTCAAAGTCACCAGTCGTGTTCTACCATAGGTTCTCAGAGAGAGTATTTTAGAGTTATTATAAAGAGTATATTTTTGAGATATTTTCTAACTGTGATATGTTTAGATATGTAAAAAAAAGATTGGAGCTAATAAAGAGATATTTTTTTATTCGTTTCGTTTAACTGATGTGATAACGATCGTATAATAAAACTCTCCATCTAACCTTCGAGATCAGATCTCGAGAGACTCAGCCAGATTGCTTATGACTCCGGGGAAGCCCCTCCTTCAGCGAAAGTAGTAACATGGACTGAATCATAACAATAGTTCATATCATATCATAGCAACTGAAGCACTTCTTCGAATAGTTGTGATGTTGAACCGGAAGCGAATGCATGGCGCATCCTTTCATTAGCTGTCATCCAAGCCTCCCTTGTGAGAGGCAACTTTTACAACGAAAGATATCAGAAACCACAATCGGTCAAGTGAGGTCCTGTGCTTTGTATAAGCTGCATCATCACAGTGAGACTTGACAACGAGGCATTCCCCTATGATTGTACCTCTCGCGTGAACTTCATCCCTAGAACCCCTGAAATCCCTCCAACTCCCCGGAATTTCTTCTGGTTCCTTTCAAGGATCAAATCAGTTGCTTTTTTGCTGAAACGGATCGGAATCAGAACGAAGCAATTTCTGCTACCCTCATTCTACACGAGAAAGGAGGTCGTCGGACTGGATCAGATCGACCAAGATCTCTCTACGATGTGTTTTCGGGCGTTGTTGTTGTTCGCCACCAGTTCGTTCGGTTGGTCATTCAATCGATCCGTCTGCTGATTCAGTGTAATGGTCACTGTGTTATCAGCTGGTATAACACCCCTACGTTCGCTATCGGTCAAGTACCATCTATAAGTACCATTACAAAGCCAACTGTCCTCTGCACACTATTCCTTTTTTATCCGTCAAACCCCATTTATCAGGCCCCTTGAACCAAATTCATGATAGATTGATATCGATAACGTCGCCTAATCCCAGGTAATGGTCGTCGTTGCTCGAGTGAAACTGAAGGCTTTGGTTATTCTTATCCGTTCTTCTTACGCTAGCACCCTCATATGTTTGAATCACCTTTACCTCAATGGGATCATCAAGAACTACTTGAGTAAAGGCACCTTTTTTCTCTGGAATACCAGTTTTCTTTAGTTTTCATATTTGCTTTTCCTAGCACTGGTGCTCTGTTCGCTCTGGTGTTTTCGCTCTTAGTTCCGGCGTTTTATAGTCAGTTGGTCGTAGAGGCCGTTCGGAGGTATTATCCTAGGTGATTGTTAGATGCGTGAATTGTTGAACATCTTGTATTGCCACGGGCTCGGATCATCAATCAACAACCGAGTAGGCACGGGTCTTCTTCAATACTTCCGCAACACACCACATTATTTTGAAAGGTAAGCTTCCCAAGTAAAAGTAAATCAGTGACTGACAGATCATATAAATGAGTTATAGGTTGCTATATCGAAACCCTGGGTCTCGAAATGTTTTGTGGAATGTTTCCGAATGGCGTGAGGATATTGAAAAACGTGAGGATATTGAAAAACGTGTTGGTCAGTTTCATGTCCTTTTAAGAAAGGGATAAGGGGCGTAAAGGGCTGGAATAGATTTTTCAACCGATTTCCAGTGTATATAACTGGGGTGCAATATTCGGTTCATTTTTTCAGACGGAGATGAGTGGGTGGTGATTGCAAGCAGTGCTGGTTGCCATGCAGCTTTGAATGCTGCAAAAAATCGCCCACAAAATATCAAGGTAAGTGCCACAGTTATACTCGAACAAGCTGGGGAAACGGGGAATCAGAGGATCGATGGCCATGTATGTTACAGGGCCTCTTCCTGTTCTGTCCGGGAGTCTCGCTGACGTTTAACTATGTCGATGCGTTTTTCCCCGGTGGTAGTGCAGCCCTGCTTAAAGGCAAAAGCCTCATCCACCCAGCATCTCGTGGAGGACATGAGGCATTGATCAACCGCGAAAGTCTTCAACACTACCTTGATGTAAGTATGATTATTGATTAGTGCTATAATTACGCTTGAACAGACAGAATTCAGACTTGTGTTATGAAAACTGAAGGACCGATTGATATACGGTGTCCAGTGAGCATTGTACATGGAACACGCGATGAGGTACGATTTACCCCGTTTCTTGGAATAACTCGCACACAAGTTCCGGAGTGATCAGGCGCGAGCGGTTGCGTAGCGGTTACGAATTTCTAAGCCCAACCAGTGCTCATCACTGAGATATCTCTTACTTTACGCGAGCATTTTTTGTGTGTATTACTTCTGTGTATATCCATCAGTTGGATGTGTGTCACCATGCAACGTCTTCACGTCGCTCCGCAACCGCACGCGTCTCCACCTGCAAAACCCAATCCACCCTATTCCAGGAAAATTATCCATCAAATAACCTTGTTCAGCTGGTACCGTGCGAGAATTCCATCGCTCTTTCGAAACGCTTGCTATCGCCTGACGTTGATCTCACTCTGATACCAGATGGCTCTCATTACCTTTCAGTGAGTGAAACTTCTTTGCAGTTTAGTTTACCGATGTAAACTTAACGTAATTTCGAGTTTCAGGTAGACGACGTCACTAAGGAAAAATTGGAATCATTTCTGGCGACCGTACTACGGTACAAATACCGTTCAAAAGAGCGATCTTCCGCGAAATTGTAGTAATCTCTAAGTTAATGCAGTTTTATGATCTCAGAGAGATGAACGACGAAATCGTACACCTATATTAAGCCTGGGATCAAACTCGACGTTCGCGAAAAATTTAAAACACTAGGCAGTAATCGTGGTGATTGCAGAAGCACTAATACAACTATTTCATTAACTATTGACTAGGTCAACCCTTTCTCAACGAGGCGATACACCCCAGGGTCGAGAACGAGGGCACAGGTAACTTTCACATAGAGAATGCCATCTACTTCAGTACTATTGGCTATTATTTATTTGTAGGCAGAGTACTCCGGTGCGACTCTTTCACCTCAGGGTTGAATAGTAATACTCCCAGCTCTTCATTCCGATGTTGGCAATATGCCTACTGTAGCAAAACAAGCTAAACACATTCATTACCAAGCATGGCGATATTTATTAAAAAATATGACTGAAATAACATCACAGGTTGAAATATGCATCCGCTAGAGCATTTATTTGCTAAATCACAGGTCACAGTGCAAATTCTGAACATCATGTTTAACAATCTATACCAAGGGAGTTGAGTGGAATAATCATACCACATAATTAGAAAGTATCAAGCCGAAGTAGCTATTAAGTATGCAAAATGCCACAAAAATCAGAAAAGCTAAAAAACTAAAAGATCGTGCACTTGGGAAACCGGTTCAAGTTCACTAAGAAAGGCATGAAAAGCGGTCAAAGCCGAAGTAAATCACAAAATAACGAAATAAATAATTATTAAAGTAGAAGTCTTGATGTACCTTTTTATACAAGCCATACCTGCCTGACATTTCCCAATACTCTTGAATGCTACAGCAAATGATAGGTAGGTCTACGGCTAATCAGAATCTTCCGCAGCCAATAATCGACGCCTTACGACATCTTCGTCAGCCACTACAACATCATCCTCTTCATCACCGTTATCTTCATGATCGGAATTGAGGAGATCATACGAGACTCGTCGCCGCCAAATCATTTCACGCCACAGTAACGGCAACAGACACACCGAGGTGCAAATGATCTGAAAGTAGTGAATTACTGCACCGAAAACCGAAAAGTGAAGTGTAAGAATGTCGACCACTTCTTCCAAAGATGCATCATCACAGATTTGGCTTTTCAAAGAACAAAACAAGATTTCGCCATGCCTAATGGAATGGCGTTATTTGTGCTGCTTATGTACAGAAAATAGGCTCACAAAATTTCGAAATGACAAGAGTCAGTACAAAGTTTCGTAATCTCTATTCCCAATGAAATAAATATTCTTGACAACCAGTGCCTTCGTTATGGCTATGGAAGAAATGAGACCGCCTACTCACCATAATTATGAATCCATAAAATACAGAATTCCATCCAAAGACGCCTTGAATTGAAGGAATGAGCAGCTGCCCAAGTGCAGCTCCAAAACTGCCCGTGCCTGAACAATTTCAATCAAAACCTCAAGTACTGAGCCTATGGAAAATCAAAGACACGAAAGTGCCACCTCTTTGATCAATGTGGCCAAAAAACAACTAACCATCAACGATTCCAGTCACAGTTGAAAGAGCCTCCGCATTGCCTCGAAGTTCGCGAGTTCTACCTGAATAGGGTGACATCTTGAGAGATATAATGCTCAAGATAATTACGATGTCCAACCTAAATCAGCGGAAACGGAGCTGGATATCATATTTGCTGGGCCACCAATGAAAAAACCAGTAATCGTTAACAATATACCATTTATCAATGGTGATGGTGGGGATGCTGCAAAAAATTAGAAGCAGATGACAAACACGAATCACTAAAGTTCGCAAAAACATCAAATGTTAAAGAGGTTACCTGAGTATCCCCATAGCGCGAATGTGGAGCAGACCAACATCGCTACAATGATAGGGGTTCTAGTTGGGAAATGATCCTGCAAGTATAACAGCAAAATAATTACGAACACGCATTGAAACCAAACAAGCGAAGAAATCGACCAACCGAAGCTGCGCCAGCTACAATGGCAGCAACGATACCTCCAACATCATACCAAGCAGATAAGGCGTCAGCATCAGCTTCACTCCAACCGAAGTTCGAATGGAGATAGAATGGCAGCCAAAAGAAAAAGCCATAGTTGACTAATTTCAGGCACGCATAAGCCAAGGAGTACTAAAACGGTTCAATGAGCTACATGAAAGTACTGATAGTTACATTAAGCGGGCCGTAATTGGAGAAAGAAAGGTTTATGATTTCGATGTACTGGGAAAACACAATAAATACAAGGCATCTGCCGACGAAACCCTGCTGGAGGTCGTCACATACACTTGCAGATCTTAACCCACCGCCAAAACGCCAGGAAGGAGCCATGCTCTCCAGAAACTGATTGGAGCTGGGCGTTGAGTAGGTTCTTCAATGACACGCATGTGTTCATCAGGAGAATCGATGGGATCCGGCAAGCCTGAAAATGATAAATTATTCGTAAACTTGGCGAAGCTTAAAACAGTACACTCACCCACTTCCCTTGGAGCAGACTTAAGATTGCAATACACAACGAACCCGAAAAGGAATAAAAGAATTGAGTTGACAGCGAAGGCGTACTAAAATACAACAAGACTTCTCAACAGTTAGTGGAACTCGTATCCTCAAGGCTAGCGCTTTGAGTGGAAAAGAAATGAAATACCTGATATCCCATAAGAACGAGCTGAGACGAGATCATTGTGCCGATTATATTACCAACACTTGCACATGCTGACCAAACACCCATAACAGCCCCTCGTGAACAATGACCGAACCAATTACCTACTATACAAATCTGAAATATTTACATTGAAATATAGTCACCAAAACGAAAATGAAGAATAAGAGTCGAAATACAACCTCAGTTGGCCAGGCCACTGATTGGAACAGTCCGCCCGAAATCCAAAGAAAGGCATAAAGGGTCTTTGAATAAACGTGGAAGTACTCCGTTGCGTATCCAAAAAGGAAGACCTAAAAATATTATGGATTGCGCTCAATAAACCTTCTTTGACCTTGTATTTCAGCCCCAACTCTTCCTAGACGTACTGGATAGAAGATTCCTATTCTTTCTACCATGACAAAAAATTAAAAAACTATAAAAACTGAGGATATTGCTGCAGGATACCATCACAGATAAAATAATATACATCAGACTCACCACAATCGCCGACAACCACATTCCAATTGACAAAACCACGCGAGGATTGTAACGATCTCCCAGAACACCTCCTCCAAACAGACCCTTCAACCATAAATTTCAGAACTCGAGTGGTGGCCACGCTAACTCTAGAGTAAACACAGTCATCAAGCAACTTGACCTTAGTTACTATCAGTCTGTACAAGGCAGAACTTACCACGGAATATGCTAAGAGGAAACCACCGTCCAGCATTGCAAGGAACTCGGAGGCTGCCTGATCGGAAGGAAACAGTGGAGGTCTGGAAGAGAGTTCGAGGTAGATGGAAAGGGATTTTCGAGAGAAAATTAACCAAGGAGATCAAAACCCAAAGGGCGAAGCACTCTGGCTATTCTCCTATGTTCTTGTCTGCCTTGGTGTTCTGCCTGAAAAACTTACTTGGTAGGAGTTCCATGAGTCCATGTTGCAATCATAGATGGTTTAACTGTGGACAATGTCTTTCGCGTTGCATGAATCAAAGCAAAACTGAAAAAAAAACATGCCATGCCCAAATAATTAAAGATGGTAAATCAGATAAGGCAAATTGCCGGTATATCAAAGGCAGTGTAAACTGATTCACGTGCACACGGAACATGATGACTAATCATTGCTCTATTACTGTGAATTGTTCCTTCAGGACCCTGACCACGATCAAGTACAGGAAAGGTTCGTAATGCTTTACGCTCATTTAACAGACAATCGAGCCCCTTACCCACCTACACCCGAGATGTGAATACACACCGACCTTTATGATTTCTGATAAATAGCCAAAAAGATGGGAATAATCAAAGTGAGAAACCTGTGAAGGTGTGGTGTGAATTCGTGAAGGTTGGGCGACCCTTGAGGAACGGTTAAAGCAAAAGCCAAGGGAGAAAAGGAACACTTACTTAGACGTCAGCTCAAGACAACTTCAACATTGTCTACCACAGAACCTTTCTTAAACATCTATTCGATGCTAATAGAAGCTAAATGCGTCTTATTCCTCGGAAATATTGTTTACAGATGATTTCTTTGAGTTTCTGTACGTTTGATTTATATGGAACAGAGCTCACCTGAAAAATGTCAGAACAAATGCTCTGAGGTGGTGTTGTGTCCAAGTATCACCGCCAGTGATGAACTGTACCAATCGATCAGAAATCGGAACCCTATTTAGTGGTTCCGTATTCCGAATACGTACCCGAGGCATCTTTCTAAACCTAAAAAGACGAAATCTAGATAATTATCAACTCATAGGTGTTGCGGGTTGGGAGAGGTGAAAGTTAGTCTCTTACCGACCTTCTAGCACACACTCACTCGAATTATTTGTTCTCAAAAGTCCATACTAGTACAGAAAGGGTAGAACGCTTAATAAGGGAAAAGAAAGGCAAAAAATGATGAAAAAAAAGCATTGGCGTAAACCAAAGTAGGGTGGCTGTGAATACAGACAATAGCGCATACCGTATCCTCAGAATAAAAACGAAAGGAGAGCTTTGAAAAGGAAAGAGGAGTTCTTATGATTATGGTTTCTTCCAGCCTTTCAGAAACTGGGCTCTTCATGCAGTCGCGTCGCACAATTCTCAAAAAAATTTTGGAGTGGGGCCCATGATTGGGCTAATGCGGGTGATTCTCCCATCACTAAACCCTGTAGACCAATTCTGTAGATGTCTTAGTAGTGGCTTCATTTTTTAGTCTTCAAAAGGCGCTAGTGAAGGTTTGTTTGGTTGGAAAATGCGATGGATCCGCAACTGCACTATTGCCAAGCCTGCGTTGTCTTACGTCAGTTCACCATGCTTCCATATGTACGAGTAAACTGAACTTCAATGTGCTTGAAGAACTTCCAGAACGATTTTCATTCCCACGATGCAGGCACGGATGAGTGGAGAGATAGCCATCCTTCACTGATCCGTGTACACATCACCGAGCCGAAACGAAGGCTAGCTCCCTTTCTTCTCGATAGCTTATCTCCGGTATTATCAAAACAAAGTAAAGCCAAAAGTGAAAACAAGGTAGGGTTGTGTGGTAGGTATTTAATGATCAGCTTCATCGCCCGTGATGATCGGTAGTACTGCTCGTCATAGGGCATTAGCCTATCGTGATGTCCCTGCGGGCTCCACCGTTGATACCTCGATCACCACGGAAGGTAAAACGTTGATTGTTAGTTCGTTTTGATAATTTTGGAGAAATCATTCACTCAAGATAGCTAAAAGACAAAGTTATTGATCTAAGCTTCGAATGGGTAGCGACAAGCAATCAATTGATGTCGCGGTGGCTAATTGAGGGAAAAGCCCATTAGACTTCCGCTCCCTGAACAGTATTTGAACTTCAGAAACTACAACGACAACTTCGATGCATAAGATTTACATTGAAAATCCGGCATATATGGATGGCAGAAGTATGTATGCGTTTCTCTTCTATTATAATACAAAAAAGTAGTAGGACATACTGATTGAAATAAGCGTTAGTCATCAAAAGAGCCTATACTCCGCCAAACCGTACAGTAATGGGCGGAGCTTACATGTCGTAAGCGGTTGCGAAGCGGCAAAGCTGCTGTGATGACCGCGCAGCCGCAGTCGCTTGCCGCAGTGCCGAGCCGCGGCCGCACCCGCCTCAATGGCTTGCACGATTGTCGGGACCAGCTTGCACGAGTGTCGGGACCATTTTAGGTGTAAAAAATGGGAAGATTCGGGATTCGTTTTTAATTTATTGATCAATTTCCAGTGTTATTAACATATGACGTAGAAAACATGCTGATAACATTCATGGCAATTATCGCTGGCTTGATGATACTGTATCTAATCGCAATGATCGTGATTCGAGTCCATTATAAGGCATGTGCTGAAGAAATGCTTCATGAATTAGAAACACAGCACCANCTTGCCCGAGTGTTGGGAATAGCAGTCGATTTTTGGTTTAAAAAAATGGAAAAAATTGTTTTTAATTTATTGATCAGTTTCCAGTGTTATTAACATATGACGTAGAGAATATGCTGATAACATTCATGGCAATTATCGCTGGTTTGATGATACTGTATCTAATCGCCATGATCGTGATTCGAGTCCATTATAAGGCATGTGCTGAAGAAATGCTTCATGAATTAGAAACACAGCACCAGGCCAAGAAAGGAAGTAAGTTTTGGGTCGGGACTTACCTCAAAATAGAGTAGAACTCGAAAGGAAGCCAGGAAAGGAAATGTCAATGAGCCGAGTGGCTGACCATAAGTTCTTGCCACATGAGGGTTAACTATTTCCAGTATAAGCCATTTTCTAGACGTAATCCTGGTATACGGACGCCCGGTGGTATGGGAGTTGAGTATCGATTAATCTTACGGGAGCCATTACCCACTCCTTAGGACATAGTGGTTTGAAGATTCAATGAGAAGCGGAGTCATGAATAAGAGATTCTGTACATTGTAACGAATGAACACGAGGTGTAAACCCGAAACCCGAACCCAAACCCGCGACCACTGCAAGTGGGTTCGGGCTATCAGCTGGCTTCTGCGTGACGTTGATCCCTAACGATAAGACATAAGTACATTCCATGGTAACTATTCATTAATTTACCGAATTCTCGGTTTTGCACGTTTCGAAGATATAAGTTTTTTGTAGTTTCAACTTTTTTTACTCCTAGAAATCTTGAAATTCTTTTCAAGAGACCCCATCACCATTCGCAATGACAATGCGTAAGGATGAACAGGAAAAAGATGAGTATGTACCAGTGAGTAAAATGCGAGATGGCCATCATGCACTGTACTGGAAGGGTGATCAGGTACGTTGACAAGACGTTTTAGCCTCTATTCTAGCCCACTGTGGTAAAAGACTGTGGGCAAAGTAATAAGGAGCATGAGGACATTCCAAATACACTTCATAATGCGCCATGCACTCCGCTTTCAATCAGAATTTGGATTGCGTTTGGAATCATTCCGTTGGCCGTAGTATCACTACACAATCCCTGGTGCATCAAACGATTTCAAAGGGGTTTCACTCTCGCCAACAGGTGGGGTAGCCATAAGCCGAGTCCAAGAGAAGATTAAGTGCTAACTTGAATCCTGATGACGAGCACCAGAGAGACCTTGAAAGATTTAGACCTAAGGACCGCACCGGTAACCCCGAGGCCCCTACCCCTGCGCCATGTCAGTCTCTCACGAACACCCTACAACACCTCGTCAATTAGTTGGCCGAGCTTTACGAAAGCCTCTGAGAGAATCAATTTTTTCAGGTCGCAGCCATTCTTCACCACGCAGCCCTGGCTCCCGTCTTACCGACACTTGAACAACCTGAAAAGAATGTGGAAATATCAAATTATCGAAATAGTAAGTGCCGGTAGACCCGATATGGCCAGAGCAATTCTCTCTTTTATCTAAAATTGATTTCAGTTAGATGAACGAAGTCACAAAGTGGAAAATATCCGATCCGCATCGTCAATGAGACATTGTTCTGTACATTTCGTTAATAAAGTCTATTTCCATATCAAATATGGAATGATGCTGGCGTTCGATTTGCAAAAGTTCCAGACATATTTCTGGAGAGTAGTACATCGACTGACGAACCTTCTGAGCTCAATGGATGGGGCTGCGAACATGTATTTAGGTGGGGTATTGATTTTGCGCGCGCGTAATCGAAGTTTCCTCTTAATTTGTCTGACACTGTTGTTCAGGCCGATTGTTCCAGCGGACTTGGTTCGATCATGGGATTTTGTATACAACCTGTTACCAATGGATTGTGTGTTGACAGTTTTTTTGCTGGGGGGGTTAATGTATAGAACAAATAGGAAGCAAAGTGTCTGAAAATTAGAAACAAAAGTCAAAGGCAAGCAGAAACTCTGAAACCGGACTCATCAACCCAACACCAAGTGATTTTCCTCTTGTTTCAGTTTTGTAAACAAAACTTTTATTTACTCGCATTAGCTAATGCGGCCGTTAGAGGTTGTGACGACATCTCCAGACTTATGCTAATCGGCGACTTCATCCTTCTGGGCAACCGCTTGCAGGAACAATTCCCGAAAGGGCGAAACGGATTGCTGTACTTCCGATCGGAAACCGTAGAGCTTCAAAACGTCCTAAAACTCATCTCAAGTTCCCACACTACGGTAATTTCTGAGTTTTGCCCATTACCGCCTGAAACGGCTATTGTTAGTCGTGGTGTTTGCTTCCGTCAGAGCAAAAATTGACAAGAATAAAGGCGAACATGCTCGACGTTTCGCGGAGGGCGAGCAGCTACTGTTTCCAGAAATGATAAGCACACAAACTGGCAACGAGGGGAGCGCTAAACGCCACGTGACAGAAACAGATCACCTAGTGGGACCGAACATTACCCTCGTTCCCCATATGAGGATCTCGGAGTTGACAGTCCGTCCTGCCTTCGTCTGACAGTATTCTGCCACCTAGAGTAGGGGTTGTGGAAAGAGGTTGAAGGAGAGGTAAGGGTATCGCGTCCCTCTTGAGAGCGATGTTCTGCTTTGAGGAGTGGAACTGGTATTTAATCATTTGATGGAGCTAAATCACACAAGAATGCTTTGTTATGAGCGGACGCTTAGTTCCTGAGAGGCTTGGGTCCATATTTATAGTCTCCATTGCTAGCGTCAAAATTCAAAGATCGGGCTACTGCCATACTTGCTAGTTGTGTTTACTTTGTTATGCCAGTTTGATTCCAATTGCTTAATCAGCGTAATCAGAACCCGGTTCCCTTTAGAGGAAAAAATGGACCGTGGCGCCATCATAACTCTTAACGACCCCCCTCACCACCATTCCCTTGGATTTTGCCCTCTATGACTTCCCTTCCGACCAGTACAACTTTCTACCAAAGAAGTCAAAATGAGAGGAGGGGGAGGAAAGGAAAGGCAAAGAGAGAAAGTAAAACGGCTCAAACAACAAATAATCGACCATTTCCGGCTGAAAAGCTCCATGAATGCATTGCTACCCATAGAGATCCTGTTACCTTTTCATCCCCTACTCCTCTTGAGATTTACCGGATACTCCCTCCATGTCCCCATCGACGGTTATCTACTTCACCATAAGCGACTGTTCAACTAGTTTGACAACAAATCGTATTTATTGCATAATCAATCAAAAAGGCAACCCAGAACAGCCCTAATTTTGAAGGGAACCGTTCAAAAACCCTCATGAGTGACTAGTCCGGACTGGTCAGTTCTAGTGTCTCCGGAATGACTGCAATGGAGACGTCAATCACCATTTCCAGTGACGACATACGTCAACCAAACAAAACGACCCAAGTATGTTGACATGCCCCATTCAGTCAAAAAGTTCTTTTCCGATGAGTGGTGGTGAGTCGCCGTCAATTGCACTCACGAACCGCACTTCCGTTGTGATTGACCTATTTGCAGCCGCTTGAAACCCACATGGGNGGGGGGGGGGCACTGTTGAAGATGCCTTTCTTTACGAATTGTCTACCAGTGCCATTCATCCCTTCTCCAAAGCAGACCACTGCACTACCGCTACACAGCTCAGAGTCCCCTTTTATTCCTACGTATCTCCCACAGATCTTTCCCAGAGTTACAATCTCCCACCGGCAACGACGTGGCTTCGAACGCCTACCACCCAGCCACTGAACTGGTACACCCTTCTTGAGTACATACAGAGTAAAAACGCCCAAAATTGCCCGTCATTTCGTCAACGGATCATTGTGGGCGGATTTTTTTTTCATCCATGTGTGGACGTGATTCACAAGGTTGTTTATTTGACGACAATTTACGGACGTTGTAGGTGTTCGTTGAGGTTTATGTACCGGTTAACCGGTTCCCACATCGGCACTCATTCAGTCACCCCCTCTCCTCGGCTCCGTTCCTTACTAATCAGCTTTTAGAATTCCCCCTCACCACGGTCACGCCCACTCGCATTGCCCGACCCCTACCGAGGTAACTATTCACTATTTAAACAGCCATGAGTCGAGTCACACATCAGGCTCAAAGTCCGGGTTGGTGTGGTTCAAGTCCCGATTTTATATCTAATTTCCATTATGTTAAATGAAATTTCCTTAGTTCCGCTTTGTAATCACTTCAGTATCTACGAAGGGACTGAAAATCTTTCTGTGATCCTTCCCTGTACTTCCTGACCTTAGCTCCGTTAGATGAGTCCTTCGCGCCCATCTATAATCCTCTACAGCTCCTTACAAGTCGGGAAATAACGTGTATCAGTCGCAATTTGTTCTATGCCACCGTGGCAATTACTTTACGTCTGGTATTACGGTAGGAATTTGGATACAGACTTATTTCTACTGGAATTTTCGTTTTCGTGAAGGCTACCGCGATCTACGGATCTATATAGCCGATATTCGCAGGAATAGATGGCGCCAATGACAGCACTGCCCGACTTCGGTCTCAACACAGACGACATTCGATATTTCAAAATGGATTCTTATATTCAAGGAAAAGGTCCAGATCGATTGAAATACCTTGATCTAGAAGGTAAGATCGTTAAAGTCTACCGATAGAAGCCAAAAAGCACTAATTTGAAAATATTCTTTCAAAAAAAAAAAGTCCCGAGCAACTTTGTCTTCATAATTTGTTTTTTCAAGAAGAGTTCGGTTGATACAAGGTTTTTCAAAGAAGTCCTGTAGTCGCTGATTCTGCTGCCTTCCCTGCCATTACTTACAGTTGCCAATCTTACTTTTAGACCGTAAACAGACCCATTTGCGTAGCTATTAGACTCAATCACAGTATTTTCCTGCCAACCGACCTTCTTAGGCCAAGCAGGGATGAAAAACTTCAAGTAGCGGCAAAAAAGACCAGTTGTTAAGAAGAAAAGTGTCGTTCGTCTTCAGGGTGGTAACCCATCAAACTCACAGCGTTCGTTTCGGACAGGTGAAAAATACCGTATAATGACCCTTCCCGGTGCCCTAGGTATTCTAGGCTGTAGGAGTTACGGTGACACTTCCCCAGTGTACCCCCGCAGTAGATCCCAACATGTTGTCAAATGTGAAGAAAATGTGGTCAATTTATTATATAAACATATGTTGTAGGAAGATGGGTCTTAAGTGGAAAAAGCATGCCTTACATCTCGGCCGCATTCAACCATCTGGAACGTCTGAATGACGCTCGTGTACCTTTTGGGGTGAGTTTTTATTTAGCAAAAGTGCGGTTATACTCAGCGATCATCGCTGTCACCGCTCATCAAATGTGGTGGGGGCAGTGATGCTTTCCGACGGCACGTTGGTATGCTGACAGCCCTGGCACAAGTTCATCATTATTAGTATTGTGTCTAGTACAGTAGAAGGGTCAAAAAAGGCAGAAATTGAAGTTAGAGATAGTCGATATTATTGGGAATTTAGGATATTACTGAAGAACCAATCAATGCTCTGGGAATGGTCGGATGGACTCCATCTTCACAGCCAGCAAAAGGTAAAGAATCCTCAGTGGCGGGTATCAGTGTAACTCGTCCCCTGCACATTTCGAGTAATGGATCAGACTGCTTCTGGATGGGATTACCAGAACACTCCTAATGGGGCTTCTTTTGAGTATCCGAAAAGCATAAAGAACTACTGATGAAATTTCAGTACCAGAGAAGAGGCCAGCAGCGACATTCAAGACTCCCATAGCTGTGGTACTGGATGATGACGTGCCGCCAAGTCCACGTGAAGTTCTACCACATCGTAGTGCTGGATACGGTATGCAATAGAAGGTGTAGTTATGGGAAAATCACTTCGTGGACAACGGATGTTTCAGGTCTCGCTCATCAGAAACGAAAACTACATATTCCGGATCGTAGCCGTAGTGTGTCGCCATTGCGTGCAGAGTCGCCATTGCAATCGTACGACAAATACGCTAAGTATGAACGCAACAGAACAGGTGATCGAGGCTACAACCAATTTGACGTTGAAAAGCCCGGCTGGTGTGGTTTGATATGGTACTTGGCCGAAGAAAAACTCACACTCATTCGAGTCGAAGAAACCGAATACTATATAGATTGATACGTAAGATAAATCATTCCTCTCATTGAAATAGTGCTTACTGAGGTGTTTTCCCTATCTATGCTTATATAGCGGTGTGGGCAGGACTTCGGAGAAACCCCACCCAGATGTCGAGCTCCACCCAACTATAAAAGACTCTTTGGGAGGGCCCTATAGTTACCACTTATGGGAAGTAAGTCTTTCTGACACAGATTCGATGACACGCTTTGGAACGCAATGGAGTGGAGCCGGTCACGATTCCGGATTCTCCTCCCCACAGAGAAGTGGCAACGACTGGCGGCCGCCACATCGAACACCATCACTCAGCCCACGGATCCCTACACCCGTACAAAGACCCATTGAAGGCAAGAACTATTCCCATAGTGGTTTCAGACATACAGAGCCATGCCTGTGCAATGTATGATCGGTAGATTTCAAATGGCATACAAGTATGTCTGGAGCTGTATATGCACCCTTTTCCCCAGCACTCGCACTCTTTCAAACACTATCTTGTGATTTCTCGGGAGAAAACGTCTTCCGTAATTCTAGAGGCTGAACGGCCCCTTCAAAATTATGGGGTTCCAATTTCTTATTGGGTTCCTGTTTACTGAATTTACTTGGGAGCTTTTTTCAATCAATAAATTACCGTCTATCTGTCAACTTCGTGTAGAGCACGGTAGGCTGACCAATTCATGGTGTTCCTTTCCTCTTGCTGACCTTGTTACCCACTCCTCTTCAATTCGACTTCCTAGTTTTGTAGATTAGAACTCCTTTTCTTTGTATACCAATGGCAGTACCGGCGAACTGGTATGGGAGCCCAGAGTTCAGGGGGAACTCCGGCAGCGATGGAGCTATGCTCGGCTGAAAACGTCGTCGTCGTCGCTGAATCGTTTACGGAACGGCTTATGGGGTTAATACGTGGCTAGCAACACACACACACGCACAGCCCGCTTGCCAACGCAAATACTCAACGTAAACGGTGGGGGGTTGCGATGGAGCGGTGAAGCGAAGGCAACCATGGCAGTATTTACTCAAACATAGACTTCCGTCCTTGCGTGGGCGTACCCAGGAACGAATAGTTCGAACGAATCGGGTTGTCGAGCTGGGCGATGTCTAAAGAGCGTAGTGGACGTTCAAAGAACTTTCAGGATATAGTATTCCCGAGCTCTTCAAGGGGGGCCATCCCGGTAGTTGCCTTTCAGCCTCGTGCAGAACAAACCCCTGCAGATAGAGCTAGCGGAGACAACAAGGGTCTTTCTGAGCCTTTCCAGAGCGACTAGATAATGTTCGGTACTTCTCGTTAAGTACTACCTTCAGAGGAAACTTCAGAGTACTACCTTCAGAGGAGAGTGAGAATGTCTTCCTCCTGTGGAAGACCTACTCGTCCAGCTTCGAGAAGCTCCACGGCCGACCACCTGTAACCTCTCTAACGAATTTCAGGTGATAACTCTAGCGGCAGCTTTCATCTCCAGATTTTCAGTGGTAGGGGTACGGTTGGGATAACATTTAGGATCACCCTCAGTTTATTCTGGAACTTTCAGTAGTTCCCGGGGTACGCTTAGGATTCAGCATTAGGCAAAGGGGCTGGATAGATGGATTTCTGCACAACACTATAGATCAATGACTGCATACTGATAAAGGGCCCTTAATTTCAGTATATCCACACAAAGAGGAACTACGAGTGATGACACGTGAGACGAAGAAAGGCTATATACCGTACAGAAGTGGTGGTTATGGGGCCTATCACGAAAAACGTCAATACGATCTATCACCGCGATCAATTGGTTCAGCAGCAGACTACAGTAGCGGAGGGTATGCTTACAGTACCAGTATTTTTTGGTAATTAATATACTCAAATATCGATCTGTTTATTTTGCCAGGTCGGAACAATCATCACCGGCATCGAGCTTTGAAAGAAACGCGGACGAAATCCTTCTGATGACTTATCATTCGAGGAAAACCGTTGGTACATCGCCAAGAAGAAATCGCGACAATTGGATTCGTTACTAGAACAAACTCGCTGGCCCAATTGGAAATATCCCACTGCCCTCATCATTGAAATGGTTTCTCCTTAGTGTCTAATCTGTCGTCGATTTCTCGCGATTCGCCATGTTCCTCTGATTGTGAGTGAGAATTCGAGCCGAATCGTGTGTAAATATTTTTCTCTTCATGAAGAAGGCACGTGTCATTGTCCGTGTGTGAAGTACTAAAGTTCTTACTCGTATCTACGTAATTTGTAGCTTGGGAAAATGAAACTGTCAAAAAGCTGATCGCTGTTGAACTCGGACGTCAAAGAAACTGAAAATCTACTCAGACTTGAATAATTACCGTAGTTGGACCGGGACCAAGTAGGTGGGAGTTTGTAACGGTCCCTCCTCCTTGCTCCTTTCCCAAAGGCTGCTGTTGAGGGAATGCCGGAGCTGTGCAAAACCCTCAGCTCCACAGA